TCAGAAATAAGATTTCGATTTATTATTTAGTAAAAATACAATATGATGTTTAACAGAGTGATATCGCTTAGCTAAGTAGTCAGATTTGAGACCTGACCGGTAGATTTCAGTTGCTTTAATTAGAACTAAACAGCTATGTCGCTTACCGTTATGCTTTTGATTCACATAGGCGAACAGGAAACTAATAGCATAACTACTAAAATATCCGTCTTCAACATTTGGTGACTCAGATTAGAGAGAGTCAGGGGTAGAACATGCGCTTTCTCGAGACTGCAGACACTTCACTGGCTAGCAGTAAAAAATAATTCTAGCTACAAAGAATTCCCACTGGTTGGATCTCCCCAACATCTAAAAAAAATACTGTTTCATTGTTCTAGACAAAGACAGCATTCAGCATTTGCAATCTTCGATAGGAAGAGTATTTATGCTAGATTACATCATATTGTTGAGACACTCAATTATCTGAAGTTCTTCGAAAGTACATAAACATTTTCCTCGTTGTCCTTTAATGTTTGACTGTTGCACACACAGTTCGCCTCATGGCTAAACATAACTATGAAGATATCTGGTTAATAAATATGTAAAACTTGGGTAATGTGATAGTAAGTAACTCCGCATTAGTTTGTTTATTAGATGTATCACACAGTGAAACAGTATGATTTACTGGATGACGTTTCAAACAAAATTTATTGTTCATAATCATTTCATCAATTATAATCACATGACTTCAAAACCTGAGTTTTATAGTTTTCTTTGTCCTCCCCTATTTGTCGTAGGGGTAGTAGAATTTTCCAGATATCTGGGACAGGTGTCGAATCATTCCTACTACATGTATTTTCAGTTGATTCGATAGACAAAGCTTCTGTTACCAATCTCTCCCTCTTCTCTGTTGCATTAGATTGTAAAACTGTCATCGTATCCCATCCTGTTGTACGGTTGTGTGTAATTGCATGTGGTGAGAGGTATAGCTGAACTATTCTCGAGATTTCTTATCTTATTCGGGTCAACTAATCTAGACAAAAATATCTGCATTGTTTGATACTGGTTTTGTGCAAAGGTTTTTTCAAGGCTTTTCTATGATAATGTTTTCTATTTCACTTCATGTCATTTACATAGCCGAAATGAACGACTGATTTTAGTAGCAGTTGAAGTACAATAATACTCCTTTCTAGAGAAACCATTCCATTTCAACGATTTCACTTGATATTTAAAGTGTTGATTGTAGAGCTTAATTCTTTACGAAAGGAACTAGTAGTTGTAAATAAAAGATTGAAAACCAGTGTTACTATTTACACTACTTGCATTAATTGTGATTTACAAAACACTGTGCTCTATCTTAATTCCTTACAACAAATTTCATTGAACTTGCAGAGGTTGCATCTAGGAGTCCTCCTGGTGTATTTTCTATCTCTGGAAGTAAGGTTCTAAACCCTTGGTTGAAAATACGAGAATTGTCCTCAAAATCTCTTTGTGCTTCAACAAATGACCGATCAAACTGTGCAAAGAATAAATCTGAAGTGAAAACTGCTGATAATAAGATGGTTGGACTGGATCATAAGTGTCTAGTTACTGAATTTTCATACGGCACTTCTATTGCGACGGGTCATAGCAACTTTAACTCCTCCACAGAAAGTGTAGACAAAGATGAACAGATCACATTTCGAATGAGGCCTAAAGTAGTTTCCTTTGGTAAGTACATGATAATAACCTTTTATCAAACCTACTTTGTTCATTACATGTATCACTTCTACATTTGGATGGTGAGGGGAAAGTGTCATCATATAACAATAAATAGTCTGTTCATTTATTGCTGATCTTCACTAAGCTATATTACTGTGTAACTAAATTGTATCTAATACGAGGTTACTATAGACTGGTCTCCTGATGATATTTCATGTGGGGAATAGTTATTCATGTTTCTCTTTCCTAAAGAACGGTAACAATGCTGTTGCATCGGATAGAGATGATCAGAGGACTCGAGGTCACCAATGGAGTGCGTAGATTCATTCAGTTCCCATAGCCAGATCATTGAAGTCACTCACATCCTGACTAGGATCTTTGAAAGAGGTTCGACAATAGTACACATCATATAGTATTCAAACTAATTACCTCAGCACTTCTCACGGGTTTCGGTAGACCACACATTCGGATCTGAATATGTGGAGCTTCAAACTAAATTGAATGAGTGTACATAACTTGCAAGCATCGCAATATAAAAGGATGTTATAGGACGATATGTGCAGTTTTCCGGTGGGAAAGTCCTAGAGTTCAAATTTCATTTTCTGCTACGAATCACAGTAGGGCTAGTTTACTGACGAGAAGGTTGGCCACAGTAACGAAGTGACATTAGTTAGAGAACGATAGGGAACCAGGGGGTAATGGACGGCTGTTTGAGACTCTTCATAAATACGTATCCATGAAAGCAAGGGAAACTGGACCAATGACTTTAAAGTTACGAGGCGATCTCGTTGACTATTCACTCATGGGTACAGAATTCATGAATGCTAACCTGTGCTGATCAGTTGACGATTGTTATGTCTTGAATTATTTGTACATTGATTTCAACCGAAATTTGATTAATTTATTAAATCCTGCTTTTAAATTTGTATCGGTAAATAAATGTTCTCAAGACTCGAGAATGTCGTATCTATTATAAGCACGATTATGTTTTCAGTAGTACTCCAGTACTTTATTTCGATTAATTTACTATTGGTTGAAAATTAATCCAAATTTTACGCACCCTAATACTCATAGTTCAGCATAGCTTTGCTTTGTCGTAATTAAGAGGAGTCTGGAGATGTATTATGTGCAACTGAAAGCTCATTGAAGTTAGATTGTGAGAAAAATAAGAGTGAAAATGTTCAGAAATATTTACAGACCATCAATTTTCTACTGCACTAATTATTGATAGTCATATGGATAATTCATGCTTCAAAAGCTATGTCTATACACTTTATAGCCTAATGTGGAGACAGTCACTATAGCACATCTACATTTATTCACCTTCATACAATAGTAAGTTAGGGAAAGTGAATTCACAGTATTTTATGCATGGCTTCGTTTGTCATTCCATTTGCATACAAATTCCCACTTGCTTGACAAGATGAATAATCGTAGACAAACGTAAGGATGCTTATTTAATTGTTACCTCTTCGATTTCACCATAACACAAGTATAATTAAACATTGTTTAATTTGTTTTAATACAACAGTGGAAAGATACAATAGTGAGAATCGTGATAAGAAGTCCGCCAGTTTTCACCAGGCTACAAATCAAATTATGGCTAGTAAGACGAAAAATGATCAGTGCGATAATAATGACAGTAAACACATTGATGATAATCAGAGATGGATGAATCGAAATAATACTTCATAAAGTTTACCTACTATGGAATTGATGGCTGAGTGAAAAGAATTTCCATATTTTATATTTAGAAGGTGTAAAAACGTGCTATGTACTGTGTGATTTCCGGTTATTATATGCTACGACACTTCAGCCTTTATTTGGATCATCTTTTGTTTTACGATTTTCAATGTTTGTAATCGTTTCTATGACAAATTTAACATCACCTGAGAAGCCCGATGTCCACATGAAATTAAACTCATTTATAATGTCCGAATGATGAAACAGTTTTAAATTAAATTCAGACTTTCCTCTTTGGTTTATTAGTCAGAATGATACACTTTTCCCATAAAGATCAAAATCCATTCAAATGATCTCAGAAGTGTACAAATTAGGCTGACGTTAGTAGGTTCGAGTCGAAAAGTAAGCTCAAACAACGTCTCATTGTAAATCTTCAGTCAGTCAGTAACATTGCCTCCACATATCATATATGCATGATAAATGATAGGTTTCATGTATGCCCTGAAGTTTTCACAATTCGAATGTTGCATGCAGAAGGGTTTTGAAAATTCCACTGACGTCGCCATTACTTCCAGGGTTAGTGTAATGAAACCATTCTGAAAGAAATGCAAGCACATGCATTCTGGAGGCAGACAAGCAGTTGAGCTTGTAATATATAGTAGATGTTGTCAGCCAAATAAACATCAGTATCACTGAGAAACAGTATTAGGGGTTGAAATCAATATAGCAGAAGTCACAAGTACTTGTAATCCTGAGTTGGTTGAATAAGAATATGAAATGCCTCTACTGAGTAGACCACACCTCCTTCTTTAATTCTCGATATGTGCATTTAGGTTGTGTCCACTTTGAGTGAAATTGTGTGAAGTGTAGACACTCTATAAAAGTTATTCGAGGTTTCATTCACTACAGTCGATTTCGTGTTGCAATTATAAATGACCTATTTCTGTATATCTGTAGATTTATAACGAGTTGTGCATACATCTTGGATGCGGCTGGACAGTTCTACACTTTAGTTTAAGAATGACTCAAAGCGTTGATGAATGATGAAGTCAGTGTAGTTTTCTAATGAAATTAGAATACTGCTTTATTCACGATGCAAAGAAAATAAATGAACAACGTTAAACACATAACAAGTCGAGTGAAAATTGAGAATAGTCTGGTGTTCCTCAAGAGTTTTAATCTTTACTTCTTTTGAAAGTATTCAGTAAATTAATTTTAGACTTGAGAAAAGTGTTAAATGACCTGGGAATCAGTAGACAAATCTTTTTTCTATAAGTTTGTAACAGATATTAGAATAACAAGTTAGTATACGCATATGCCCTGCTATATTTTTCAAATAGTTGATCTTAAGGTGGTGAAATTTAAATCCTGTTTTTCAAATTGACAACTTTAGAGTAGGGATAAGTTTTCCAGTGATATGAAGAAAGAAATCTTGTCTAACACGCTGCATAGATAACAAATCATGTTTACAACTAACTACTAACTAAATGCCATTAATATTTGAAATAGTCAGTGTCGCAAATTGGGAGGGGTTAGTTCAATACCCCGATGATGCATCAATTTTTGATCTGTGGTAAATTAGTAGAGGAGGTTGAAGACCGTAAACTGTGAAAAATATAGGCATCAACAGAGTACATTAATGTGTGTTATGAATACACAGTTAATCAGTCACTATAATCAACTTTTTATTGTGGTTATATAATCAAAAATTAAAGAAAGTAGATTTCAACAATTGAATAATCATGAAAAACACTTGCAGATTTACAATGAATGTAAGATTTTTTAAAATGATGGAGAAATGCATAAGCCATTGGTGAGAAGGGTGTAAGAAACAAGTAGAAGTCTACTTGATTATTTAGTCTATTTTCTGAGACATCGATGTCGTACTGTCTCTTAGTCTTAAAAGATTGAGAGCAATAGGATTAAGTCTAAAAGAAGCTCTGATTGAACTCATAGATGAAAGTTCATCAGCATCTAAAGATCGTGTGGATGTTTGACGTCTAGCTCGTCTATAACGTCGTCTTGCCCATATCCTTTTATTTTCTGATTGTTTACGTTTAACTGATTGGTGAACAGCGTTAAACTGCCTGAATGCTTGTTTTATTCGATTGGACGTTACTGGGTTCACTGATGAAAAGTCGAGAGTGATATCAGATTGAGTGGCCTGTTATGAAACAATATTAAACAATAATTTATTACTTGAAAGCCATTTCAGTCTTTTGTGTATATTCAGAGTTACAAAAGTGTAATGAGTAGATAACGATAAGACAATACAAGCATTCAGAAAAAAGAACACTTCAACGAAAAGAGTGTCATGACGATTTCACTCAATTAACTCCACAATCACTATTATACATCATTATTTATGCGTAAGTATATGCATTTTGTCAAGCATAGGACAAACAAAACCAAATGAATCAATTAGGAGTATTGTTCACATCATCAAGGCACTTCGGAATGGTGAAGACTGACTGAAGTGTAATTGAAGGTATGAAAGCTGGTCAGTTTGCACTCGTGGTTGCTCAGTAGAAAAAAAACTGTTTAGAGGACTGTGTTAATAGTCTGAGTATAGAGACCACTCCTCTTCTGCGTTCGGGAGTAAAAGACAAACTGCCTAATTTCTCTTCATCCATATGTATCTACCAATTTAACTGCTCCTGTGGAGCCAGTTACATAGGCCGCACAATTAGGCGTGTTTCTCGTCAAATTTCCGAACATCACCCTGCGTGGTTAAGCAAAGGTTAAACAAAATCCATTCGTAGCACTATTCTGTCTCATCTTGTGGAGAAAGAACACAAGACTGACGTCAACCACGCTTTCAGGGTCATTTACCGCCTTAAGATTTCGACTACTAAATATTGCTGAGGCCGGGGGGGGGTCCACATTAACAAGCCTAATTTATGCATCCAAAAGAAGTTCGTTCAGACATTATCATTACCTTGGCCATCCAGGTTTGAATTATCCTGAATTTTTGCGTGATTTCCCTAATTTTAGTTGATATTCTATTCGCTATTATATCTTTATTACTATTATAATTTAAGTATTTTTAGTGAACTGTAATTCCATTGATCATACTTTACAAATCGATATTATTTAAAAAACACTAATATTGTTATTAACTACCAACCTTGAATATTCTGTGTATATAAACATGTATATAATTGTAGAGCCAGAAGAGGAATTTATCGAAAAGAATATTCTTTGCTCGATTATTTTGTGTTTTATAGAGATAAGTTTTGATTTGCTATATATAACAGATGAAGAGAGTGAACATGAGAATAGTCACGTAAACCACGCTTACAAATATAATGCCGAAGATTGCAGACAAAAACAGTAACACTAGCAAGATACTGGTAGCAAGTAAATCAGCAATTATCTCCAAGGTGAAGTGAGTAAGTGAATGAGTTATTGGGCAAGTTTCTTCTGTGTAGGTGAATCTCATTATTTATGTGATTGCTCAATGGCCTCAACAGTGCAAATAATGCAAAAAAACTACATTCTTGAGGAGGCTTCTTTTCAATTTATGAATGACTTTGAACCGAATTTCTTTACACTTCGAGCGATAATGTTGAAAAAACGTTAAGTTATAGGACTTTGAATTGATCCATAATGATCTGTTTCCAGCTATGTAAGGCATTGTTTCTTGATCACTAAGTACCACATTCGCATCGGACTACAGATTCATCGTGTTGCACAAAAGTAAGCGAATCTGTCGATACATATATAAGTGGTTAACCGAGAATATTTCTCCTTCAAGTTACTAAGGGATACTGAACAGTGAGAGGATTCCACTCTATTAAAATATAATTTTCAACCTCTAGACTAGTCTGGCCAGCTTTTAAACCTTCAATTACACTCCAGTCAGTCTTCACCATTCCGAAGTGCCTTGATGATGTGAACAATACTCCTAATTGATTCATTTGGTTTTGTTTGTCCTATGCTTGACAAAATGCATATACTTACGCATAAATAATGATGTATAATAGTGATTGTGGAGTTAACTGAGTGAAATCCTCAAAACAGTTTATGCTCTAAACTACTTAATTTTATGTTCACGTTTGATTTCATGTCTTTTGCGTTAATCGGCTTTTATCAATTATATCGCCCCTTCACTCTTAATATAAAAGCGTGAAAAGTGATCAATACCAAATAAATTGAGTTGAGGCAAGTGATACTAACTAGCACTCTGATGGTGAATCCGTTTCATGTGTTAGTTGTATAGCGCCAAGTATTTTACAGGGGTTGCGTTGTTTTAGAACTCTCCTAACTTTGGGTGTCTTGAACTGTTTGCAGTATGCAGAATGGCATATTGGGTTTTGTGACAGTGATTACTGTTGTATTATTATTATCACCTTTAGTTCCTAGATGAGCATAGAGCTTCAGCCGCACGTCTTCACTGCGTTTAGCTGTGTGCTAGCGTTTTCACCCGGCTTCACATTCGCCCAAATGCCTTCACCTCTTCTTTAAATGACCTCCTTAATGTTACCCTCGCACTGACTATCAAGTCACCGCTTCCCATTCGGGTTCCACTGGAGAGATGGCCTGGCGTGTGATGTTACTTGGTGGTTTTCTCAGAGTATGGCCAATCCACCTCCATTTCCTCCTGCATATTCGTCGCACAATCGTTTCCTTCTGGACTGGTTCACTCCCAGAGATCCTTGTTGCTGATCGTTTCTGGCCGGTCATCTTATCTTGAGTATTGAGTAAAGACAGCGGATAATGAAGGTCTGTATATTATTCTGTGGTACTTCTCATGGATCACCAAGCTTCTGATCCGTATAGTAGCACTGAATTTATATTAAAGTTGAAAATTCGCATCTCATTTTTCATGCAGAGTGCTATTGATCTCCACATAGACTTAAGAGTGATGAAAGCTTAGCTTGCTTTCCCGATGATCCTCACTTTGATATCCTCATCAGTTCTGCCTCTTAGGTCGGTAGGTAAAGGAGGTTGCTACTTTCAGATTCCTCCCATTTATGCTGGTTGTTGTCTCTTGTTGATGTTGTTGTCGACCAAGAATCTTCATCACCTCTGTCTTCTCTGTGTTCACCTGAAGCCTGATCTTCTCTGGATGCCTCTCCTGCCAAATTATTGCTTTTCACTTGAATATCTTCAAGTTTATGTGAAATCAGCTGTATATCATCGGCGAAATCCAGATCCTCCAAGTTTTGTGTGGGTCCATTTTATGCCTATCTCCTCGTTTACGGCTGTCTATCGCATTATGCAGTCTACCGAAATCAGGAAAATCATTGGAGATTGTAACCAGCCTTGTCTTACTCCCGTCCTCACTTCGAAGGCTTCCGTAAGTTTCCTATTGTGAGTTGCTTGACATAAAGCATAATCATACAACTGTTGGATGAGATGTATAATTGTTGGCGGCACCCCGTAGTAGAGAACTAGTTGCCAAATCACCTCTTGATCAACGCTGTCGAAGGCCTTTTTCAAGTCAATGTAGTTGACGTAGAGACCTGACTGCCATTCCAAGCTTTGTTCAGTGATGATCCGCAGTGTTGCAAATTGATAGATGCATGACCTGTTTCTCCTGAATCTAGCCTGTTCCGGTCGAAGTTTTTCATCCATGGCTTAATATTTTACTTGGGATAGACAGGAGCATGATGACGCACCGATTCTCGTATTGACTTCAGTCTCCCTTTATTTGGCAGTTTGAACAGGTAGCCTTTCCTTCAGTCCACAGGTATATTCCCCTGTGTCATCAAGTTCACTGATGTCCCGGAGTCTATTTTCAATGCTTGTGTGGGGATTCCGTCTGGTCCCGCTGCTTTTCCGGTAATTAGCATCTTTATGGCCTTCAGGAATTCCGCTTTCGCCGGAGGGTTTGTTGTGAACTTGTAGTTCTGCTTCCGCTGTTTGCATTATTGGACGCGTTGCAGGTAGCGGTCGACTAAGAAGTCTTTTGAAGTGTGCACCCCAGTGTTTCCTTTGCTCCACTTCTTTGGTGACTCACTTCCCCTTGTCATCCTTCACTGGCTTAATTTGTGTTGATCTGTTCCCCGATAGGAACCTATTTGTTTGATAGAGTGTTGTGAGGTCTCCTTTGCCTTCAATTTATTCCACTTCAGTCGCCATAGCTTTGTAACATTTCTTTTGTCTTTACTCTTTTATTCAGTGTATTGTAGCTTGCATTCAACTGCTGCTTTTGTTGCTCACCAATAAACAGTGATAGTCCTCCACAAGAATAGCGATGAATGCTGTTAAGTAGGTAGCATATTTTGTTATTTGCTGTTTAGCAGTAGGCATGACAATTGTAGGCGACTTCCAGGATGAAAGATTTCATCCATTTAAAAGTGGGTAACTATCTTTACAAGGCCTCCACAACCAGTAACCACTGATCTGTGCTGGTAAACAAATACACCGAATTATTTTCTAAATCAGGACTTGTATATAAAATTTAATTCATAGATGTTCCCTGAGAACTGTGCCATAAAGAAAATTTTTTATCACTTTTATCTCATTAAGCGAAAATCTAGATCTTGTAGTAGGCGCTAGGACGTCCGAGTGGTGATTTCCTATTAGGCTCTTTTTGATACATTTTTCAACATTACAATAACATACAACTTGTGCGGACTTGGATTATGAATGGACTGCAGTTTCGAACCAATCTACAAACAGCCTTCCATTTAGTGGTGCCAATGATAAAGTTGTATTTCGCAGCAGTTACTTAATAGCCATTTCGATCTGAAAATTACATTAGACAGTTTACGAATTTCGTTGAACACAGGAACTAGGTTGCTTATGTCATTCAACTCATTCTTAGTAAACTGGTCGGACAAATTCCGTATTTTTGACCAGGTAAATAATACCTCTGTACGTCGTCACCTTCATGAAACTTGGTGTTAAGTCAGAGTAATCTCCATGTTGTAGAAGCCATTAGCTGTATATTACACTCAGTCAACGCGCCTACATCTTCAACTTTAACATGTACCATTTATTTATTTGGTTCTGAGATGTTATCCAATGTGTTCCAAGAGAAACTGTTTGCAGCTGATGCGATCATTTGACAGTTAATGCCTTCGAAACCCTTCTCACAGAAGAAGAATTCAGTGAGAAATTGTCCGTATAAATCTGTTTACAAAGTAGCGTAGATTACCAGTAGAGTGTTTTCGCGGACACCGTTTCATTTGACTGTAATAAACCTACTTCTTTGGCTATACCTTCTGCATCTGCTGTTGAGACGGATCCAGCTCCTGAAAACTCTCATGTTTGGACAAAATTTCCTGAATATGAAGAAAATGTCAACTTCGATGGACAGAGAGAAGTTAGAATCTCACCACTGGCTGGAATAAAGCAAAACACCTAATCAACACTAATAACTTCACAAACAGATTCCTGTGTGAATTTGTCGAAAAATTAAACAGTCTTACCATAGTATATATGAAACCAGACTCTTCAGCTGCTAATTTCTCTTCATTAATAATATCTGAATAACAATATTTCTTCACTAGTTTTATATGAAAGAAAATGAGTACTGCCGTGAAAGCCAAATACATAGTCCACTTAGATTTATTAGTGTAACAGTCACGCCCCAAGTTTGGCAGGCCAGTTCCTATTAGAAAAGAGAGGAATTTATATAAGTACCGAATTCGAACGCTGGTACAGAATATAATTCCATATTAGATGAGTTCATTCGATGTAACATGCAGTGGTATAGTATTGGTGAATTACTCCACAGACTTCATCTATTTATTAATAAAACGTCGCTGTGCTGTATCAGATAAACTCACCCAATATGGGAAGGTGAGCTCAATGCTGACAAATTGTTAAATCGTAAAGTTCCAAGACTTTTAAAGCAGGGACATCCCATAGTCTGCATAGCATATTTCGAGAGTGAATTGTTCATATTTCATTTGAAAGACAAAGTGTGAAAATCAAGCTAAATGATTAGACTGTAACATTAAGCTGTTAACTGACTCATCAACGTAGGACGTCATACAAAGAGTGCATCATAACATAACATAAGCTTTATTCCAAATCAGTACTTGTGATACAGAATGGAATTCTCAGCATTTTCCTACAATATTGCATCCAGTTTTTACATTAACAGTAAATAAAGTTCTACATAGGTTAAAGTTATCTCAACAACATATTTGTATGTCGGTAGCAAAGCCAAAAATTAAAGTGTTTGAAGGTGTTAGAAACGTAGATACTACTAGCATATTTACTGGCGTAAGCGATAGCAAAATGGTCGAGATATACAGAGTGTGAAAGAACGAACAAGAATGTTTTAAGTAGAGTTTGCAAGGAAGAGAAAAACAAAACAGGACATAACAAAAATAAATACTGAATGAAGAGCGAGAAAACGTTGTACCTATAAATGATGTGAGTTGGAAAGACGAGATCCATTGGTTCTACTGACTATTTAATAAGTTAAAGGTTTCATGCCTAATGCTTTCTTTATCGCACAGAACACGAGCTAGGTAGGGTATGGATGAGTTTTTGTACTTACTAGTGCGGGCATATAGTTTCCTATATAGGCTTCTTGTTTTCCCTGAAGAGATACATGGGGAGAGTTGTGAATGTAGAGGGTGTTGTGAGTCAGATAAAATGGATTTCGCCCATTTTTAACATGAGTCCATGTGCCTGTCCACCAGAATGTTAACAAGCTGGCTAAGTGGCAAACTGCTTACCCTGCTGACAACCCTTAACATCCTACGTAATAAGGTATAGTCTTTCTTCAATAGCCCAGGAAAGACTAAGGGGGAGCAATAGAGAATAATAGGCAGAATACGGGAGTTAACAAATTGTAGGAGTAAGGCTTGGGTTACACCAGAATGTCTTAACTTCTTGATGTAGAAGGTAAGACGGTATATAACGAGGTAAAACCTCACAGAAGTCCACATAGAAGTGGAGGAAAGAGATGTAATTGAATTGTTGTAAGAGGGATAATAATTAGATGATGACTGGTGGAGATTATAGTTGTCTGGGAGATCAACTGCGCCATTGAGAATGGTCTTGAGCCACGTCACCCACAGTTCACAAACACTGATATTCAGTATCCTGAGATACCCATGACTGACTGGCTCCAGCCAACAGTCATCGGCTCATGGAGTGAAGCCGTGCCATCGGATGTAGTTCTTTTTCAGATAATATCATTCTTGTAGGAAGGTGGTGGCTCGACATGCGTGAAAGTTGTCATAGTCACCTCAGTCAATGGAGCTTGCAACGTCATACATCGGCATTTCTCTCCTACTAATCTTTCTATGCCTAACCTCATTACTGCCACTAATCTGTTGCTCCACCAGAAGTGAAGGATTCCATGGAGACACATATGGTAAGAGGCTGTCATCTTTCTACGTCTCCTACCTCCAGTAACTGTATCTTACAGCCATGAAGAAGGGTAGGGTAAACTGTTTCACAGTGCACATATCCCCTAATGGAGCGAATTTCGAAACAAAGACACAGAAGGAGAAATACTGCGCATTTTCCAAGAAGACACTGTACATGAATTTGGTCTTCAACGGGGACATAGCAGTCGAAATCATGGAAGAAATAAACTGCTGATTTCTTAAAGAGAACTTTATTTTCAGTCACCGTCCTTCCACAGCCTGAAGGAAAGAGTCACATACGTGACCACTTTAGTGCATGTATATCAGTTCATCCACCAACGCAGAGCTAGGTGTATAGATCGTTCCTTGTATGGCCTTCAGAAATGACTAGAAGAGCGCCACCTGACGTGGTAGCAATGCGATCAACCGATGCTTCAGACTAACGCAAACAGGCTTGGATATAAGGTTTACGTACCACTCGCTAAGTCAATTATTTCATTACCTCCCTTTTGCACGGATTTCAAGATATCCATTTTGCAACATTTCTTTCAAGATTTCTTCGCTTCCGATCAAAATTTCGGAAAGCTTTTCTCAAAGACACTTAGCGGCTAGAATCAAGTTGGTATCAAGTTGAACTTAGTGAAAAGTGATAATGTATTAAGATTACCATATCGGAATTTAAGAGGGTTACTCACCGGTGATACAATAATAACCACACGACATGACTGAGCACTGATAGGGAAAACTAGACCAGTAGATTCCAATTCAACAGTTGGAAAAAGCATGCTTTCGATAGACTCTGACGGATATAGATCGAAGATATATCACGTCCTTGCTGCGAATTCCCAAACTATGGTTAAACCACTGTACACCACTTATTGGCTTTTTCGATATTTTCAATAACATGGTGGTTGAACTCGCCTTGTCTTTACTACTTTTATCTAACAGAGTTCTACAGATTTTGATAGTGTAGTTTTAATTTATTCGTCTTCATTCGCATTCACGCACTTTAATTTGTAGCAACTTGGAATTCTACACAATAGTTCTACATCCTATTTTGATGATGAAGTCCCAAGGTCATCGGTGGTTCAGTGTGTGCTATATATATAGACATAAATAGCATTTCTTTCAACCAATGTCCTCGGACAAATAATGATAATTTGTGCATCAGTGGGAAAGTAAATATAAAAGAGATATGAAACGAAGGTAAGCACACGCGGAAGAATCCAGTAAGAAATAGACATGGCAGATACTATTATTTGCGAATTGTGCAATGAATTTAAGGTTTGCGATTTTCCTGATGGGTTCACCAGTCATGTTCCCTACAACAGTGAGTAGTGGAGCTGTCATCAGCAGAAAGAATAGCTGATCCTGGATAATAAGTTAATGCCATGACTGATCTGGGATGATGAAGATAAAAGAGGGAATAAAAAGTTATAAGGTAAAGATTTGAATATGTGAAGACTGAAGTGAAGTTTTTTAATTGTTGTTTCTAGCCATATAAAGAGGTATAGATTGCCTTGCTGGGTTCCTCAGGACAATATGAACCAGTGGCTGTAGACGTTTGAAGACATTGCATGAATGCACTTTCGATACAGATGCAGATGAGTTAACTCCTTTTGATCCCACAGATAAGTGAAATCTTCTTTTATTCTTCATATGACTATTCTTCGTCTCACACACTACGGTTTATTGCAGGTCATTTCTTTCGCCTACCTTAATCTATGCTTTTCTGAAATGTGCAAACCTGAAATGCTGCACAATTGGCCAAAGTCCTACATTAAAAATTGTCTGTCTGTCTGTCTGTTTTCGACATAGAACTTTGCACAAATGTGCGGAAGTTCAAGTCGCCACATTCCGTGTAGCACGCGAAGCAAGAGAAGAAAGTACAAGAAAAGCATAATAGAAACAGTGAGCAGAGGTGTGAGACAAAGGAGTAATAAAGAAATACAAAACAGTTTCATTGAAGATCATAAGTCACAGGGAGTGGATGCATCTGCGCCACTGAGAACGATTTTGAGCCATGTCACCAATTGTTTCCAACCATAGATTTTTACCGTCCCGAGGACCCCAGCCTGGAAGTCTACACCTTCCTACGTGGCTTAGACCAACTGTTGTGGATTTCATTGACTGATGCCAAGTTTTTGTTTGACCGCCGCTAGCTTTTTTCCAGCCTGACCCTATATCCGCTAACATAGCTCGTCGAGGGAGGCGATGGCTTGGCATACGTAACACATGTCCTAACCATCTCAGTCTTTGTAGCTTCACGACTTCGTCGATTGATTTCCCCTGTTTACCTAGAACTCTACGCCTAACCTCCATGTTGCTCACCTTATTATGCCACTTTACACGGGAAATAGAACGCAGGCACCTATGATCAAAGACAGCTAGTCTTTTCATGTCTTCCACTCTCAGTGGCCAGGTCTCACAACCATAAAGGAGGACGGAGCGGACTGATGAGCAGTACACCCGCCCTTTGGTCGATAGTCGAACATCTCGTCTACGCCAGAGTCGGCGTAAACTAACAAATGCGAAACGAGCCCCTTGTATTCGTGCTGAGATTTCGTCAGAGATCAGCCCGTTGGGGCTGATGGTACTTCCCAAATAAGTGAAGCGGTCAACGTGCTCTACCACTTCACTTCCTATTTTTAAACTAGGCGTCGATGTAGTCCAGTCCTGTAACATCATCTTGCATTTGGCGGGAGCGAATCGCATGCCAAACATTCGTAGATTGCGGCTCAAGGTGTTTAGAAGACTCTGCATTTCGTCAGCGTCTTCGCCTAGAAGGACTATATCGTCTGCATATTCCAAGTCAACGAGATTATTCCCGGTAGCAAGTCAATCCCTGAGTCGCTGAAGTCACCTAGGGTTAAGTCCATTAACACATCTATGATGAAGTTGAATAGAAAAGGAGATAATGGGCATCCTTGACGGACACCACTGGTCGTCATCAGTTCAGATGACAGCTCGCCGTAAGCCCTCACCTGGCTGTATGAGTACGAGTAGAGTGCCTTAATCAGTGCAATATATTTTCTTGGAATTCCCTTTACAGCCAAGCATCTCCAGAGAACTTCCCGATCGACAGAGTCGAATGCTGCCTTTAGGTCAAGAAATATAATGACTGTTGGACGCCGGTAGGAATGCCTATGTTCTAGAATCTGTCGGAGGGTGAAGATATGATCAATACACCCTCTTCCTGGTCTAAAGCCTGCCTGGCTCTCTCGTGTTTGTGCTTCCCGAGCACCACTCAGTCTACGCATGATTATTGAGCCTAAGACTTTAGATACTATATTAGTCAAGCTAATCCCTCTGTGATTATCACAGGAAGACTTGTCTCCCTTCTTGTATATGGGGATAATCAGTGACTTACACCAACCCGATGGGACTTCTTCTGATTCCCAGACGCTGCCTAGTACCTCAGTTAATCCGGACAGTAAGCTGTCTCCACCGTACTTAAATACCTCTGGAGTCATTCCATCAGGTCCCGCTGCTTTGCCTAGTTTCAGATTGGTGACAGCTTTAGTAACCTCAGTTAGTGACGGAGGACCTGTATCTATATCCCATTCAGGGAGGTGTTGGATGCTCGGAAGGTTGAGCGTGGCTGTGGGCAAATTAAACTGCTCCTCATAATGCTCTTTCCAACGATCCAGTCGTCTATCCTGTGAGCTAATTATAGTGCCATTTTTTTCCGAGATTGTCTCACTGATGATTTGTCTTCTCCCACCCGTTTCCCTGATGAGTCCAAAGAGTTGCCTGGTGTTGCCTATCCTCAAAGCTTTCTCCATCTCTTTGGCTTTTGTCGCCCACCACTGTTCACGGTCCTTGCGGAGACTTTTCGTAAGTTTCCTCTTGTGCAGCTTTCGCTCCTCATTGAATTCGGAGCTCGCCGGAATAAGTCTTCTAGCATCTATCAGTTCGGATGAGGCGGTGGAGATCCAGTGGTTTTTACTCACCTTTGGGTTTACCTTATTCACAGCTTTTACAGCTGTATCTATGGCTGCCTGGATATTTTTCCAAGCTTCTTCAGGGTGAGCACAGCTGTCGAACACAGATATGTGTTTAGCTAGTTCTTCCTGAAATACGGATTTAGTTTCCTGATCGAGCTGGGGACGTGATGGTTTTACCGCCAGCTGTTTCCTACGTCCGTTCAGTCGTAAGCACACCCGAGCGCGGACCAGTGCATGGTCGGTATCTACGCACGTGTTCCAGAAGGAGCGACAATCTCCTACCGACCCACGCCAACGATAGCTTATTGCTATGTGGTCTATTTGTGTCCAGCGTTGGTTTGATGAAGGGGGTCTCCAAGTCAAACAGTGTCTCTCCTTGTGTTTAAAGTTAGTGCTTACAAGAAACAAATGATTATCAGAGCAGAACTGTAGGAGACGGTCACCGTTGTCGGTTCGCTGGCACGGAGCTCCATAGGTGCCACCGACATCCTTCTCAGATTGACACAATTTCCCTACTTGAGCGTTAAAGTCACCAGCTAGAACGACTATGTCTGAGCGTTTAGCCTTTCCACCAAACTAGACAGCTTTTGGTAGAACTCATCCTTCGTTTCATCTGAACTGCAGTCAGTGGGGGCGTAGGCGGAGATTACGAAAAGGCATCGGCGAGTAGTGCAGTCCTTCCTCCTTCTTACTGATCCGTTCAGGCGGACAGCACACATTCGGCTATCTACCGGGATCCAGTCAAGCAATGTCTTTTCTGCCCTAGTACTCAAAGCTATCCCTACGCCAGCTAATCCTCGTGAACTAGCTGTGGCATCTCCTGACACCCTCAAGGTGAATTTTGCAGATTCAACCTGTTGGCCAGGTGGGGTTAGGTGAATAACCACACTTGGGTCTTGTATGCGTGTTTCTGAAACACAGCATACATCAATGGCTCGTGATGCCAGGGTCTTGGCTAGTGATGCTTGTTGTCCTATTTGGCAAAGTGTCCTAACATTAAGAGCTCCTATATGAAATTGGTGGCGCGGCTTTAAGAGGCTGTCGGTGGTGGTTTTTTGGCTTCCATCGTTTTTAGTGGACGCAGAGTGGAGAGGAAGTGGAGAGCTATCAAGTCGAGGAGTTGCATCAGTGGAAGGAAGGCAAGATGATAGAGATGAAGATGAAGACAAAGATGAGTGAGTAATAGAGAGGTTTCGTGTGCATTTCGGATTGTGAGGGCGATTGTTACTTCCCGGCTGCCCACACCGTGGAAGTTGGTTGCGTGACCGCAGAGCCCAGGGGACAACTGCTTGAGGCCGGTCACACGCGGCCTGTTTTTGTTCGTTCTTTTTTGTTTGGTGTGTCTCAGTAGCAGATTTATCACTCCCGCCCTGTGACACGGCAGCAGGAAGCGCGGTCGTTGTTAATCCGGGCCACGGCCGATCCGGCATGAAATTTTGTAATTTTGTATTGGACATGATGTTGGATTGGGTAGCTGCTTTTTGTTTAACCGCTATCCAAACAACCTGCCTGGCATGGTAGAACCTCAAGAGACATAAGTCTCAGCCAGTATAGCTTGATTAGGTCATTGCGGTGTTCAAGCCCGACCACCACGTCAAGGTAGCAGCTTTCGGTCGGGCATTAAAAATTGACTCCGGTTCAAATCGAAGGGGACGAACAACTAACAATTTGGCGGTGTGTGGTAGTGAAATCTAAATTCACATTTTGGTCTATTTCGGTCATGACTGAATAGACAGAAATTTCGGTGTGACGTCATTCCCGAAATGTTGTACAAGAAGCTGTTGAGCAACAAAACTTCCACTTATGTAGTGAACATTATGACTCATTACTGACTTTTACTTATAGCTTCTCGTTGTTTTTAATCAAAACAAAGAGCGATGTCTTCGTCGACCCAACACTGAATCACTAGTTGTAGCAATACCGTCGGTGCGTGTAAGGGCTGGGATAGGTGAAAGAAACTCTAAACTAAGAAGATTGCACAAAGTCGATGGGCTACCTTCAGAAGTATTTAAAGCTGGTGTGATGGAATTTCTTCGTAAACTGAGATTTTGACTAAGATATGGAAGCCAAATATGGTTTCCTCTAATTGGCACCATCAACTGGTTTCCTGATCTTCACGAACAGAGGAAAGGCTTCTTAGTCGCTAAAGTTTTAAGTTCGTAATAACACAACGAGTAAACTCAACCGGTTTACCACAAACCACAGAAAAACATGCCAGCTTCGGACTCGGTTCTGGCTGTGATGACCGAGTATCTACTCTTCGTCTAGTTAGGTGCACACATCAGGTGATAAACATCCAAAGTACTGATTTTCTCCTTATTTCTTCAACGTTTCGACAAATAAGCCAGTGGGAGCCTCTATTCCCACAAATCTTCTCAGAGGAGAACACGGATAAAATTGTTCTGTTTCCCGGGGATGTTAAAAATATGTAGAGTTTCCTGAGCTCATAGTGAATCACCATTTTCTGGAGAGGACTGCACTAGCTGGATTGAGAGTAGATTTGAAAATTTCTGATTGACTGGATCAGGACACGACAATAATTGCTAAAATAATCCATAAATAGTGGTCAGAATGTGACCACTACGCAATATAAAAAATTCATAGCCTGAGGAAGTGACATCTGAAACTCTACGTAGGATTCTAAGTAATCCCTCAACCAGGATTTCATTTGAGCCTACGAACTCACTCAGAGATAACAATTTGCTGGTTTATGGCGACCAGTAACCCAACTAAATAAAATAGTTTTATTTGCCAAACACTGTTTGATTACTTCAAGTTTGAAAGTAAGGGTTAAATTAGTGGATCAGGGTCCATCTAGTTCCATTTCGGGCACTATGGGGTGGGATACGGAGAAGCTCTCAGATCCAACATAGACATGCAGAGTGAGATTGATTGCCAAGTCATTGTTCATTAAATCAGTGCTGAGTGCTTGCAATGGGAGTTATTCAGCGCTTACTGAGGAGAATTTGGAAATTCGATAGGGATATAATGAATGTTGTGTAGGAGGAGTAAATACATTTGTTGAATTAATTACAAATATTTCAATGTGATTATGAGCACTAAATTACTCTACAAACTCTCTACTGCAAATCACTGAATGCCACATCGTATAGTGAACGTGATTAACGTGAAACTATTATCCTAAAACAGTGTCTGAATTCTACTCTGATATCTACTGTGAATTAGGAAAGCTTGAGTGACATACATCAGAATAGTATTTTACTGTATGCAGAACTCAGTTAACAGAGGAAATTTGCTCTTTCTGCCCCATGAAACACAAGATGAGTTCTTCGTTAAATTCTGTAGATGAGAAAGACTAATATACATCCAGCAGCCTTGTTTAACATTTTGATTCAAATGACACATAATTTTTGGTCGAGTAAATAATTCAGTAGTCAGAATTGTGGTAGCTACGTCTGAGTTATTCATCAGTATCACAGAAAACATGCCATCTATAAGAAGTTGTAGTATTTTTGGCAAAAACGTACTTATATCCTGTGCTTAAGCACATATATTCTGGATTGTCAAAATAATCCCAATACAATTGTATGTGCATTCTTCGTTGAAGAATGCTAGAAACTGAATATAAATCAAGGTGAGTATTGATTGTAACTTGCAGTGTAAATGCTACGATTCCAGTGTGAATCAATTTGATTGTTACATGAAAATAGACGCTGTGTAATTACTGGGCTAACAGTTTACACTTATTCTATTTCGTCACTCTTCAAGACTGTCATAATGTTCTTAAAAACTAATACTACCGACAACTTTAGTAGTAATTTACATTCTTCGTGATATAAAATCACCTACTCATAGTTGTAAATGTGGCATAAATCGAACTCTGAGAAAAATAGAGTTTAGTATGACATTGTAGCATTCATTAGTGTTAACATTCATTGTGCGAGTTTCTAAACCCTATAAGCAGTTTTATTAACAGTTATGCAACTACCATTTGACCGGAGTCAAGTGCAGGAAAAATCTTTCGGGTGTTTATAACTTACTAGTGTATGCGTGATTGGCAGATGCACTCAAACGAAATGTTCGGTTGTTATGTAAAATGACTACAGAGCATTGAACTCTGTAATTTCCATATATTGCAAATTTGTTTCGAACGAACTCATTTCCTTCTGTGTGAAATGCGAACTTATGACCGGATATCACCCTCCATTTATAAGTGATATTTTCAATTGGAAATCCATTTGGTGTACATTGGAAAGCATAAGAATTGTTATCAGTTTCTCTGCCTTCAATTCTTAGCTTACTTGGTGGTTCTGAAGAAGACGAACATGAACAAGAAACAGAAGTAGCAGAGCATAATATCATACAGAAATTATACTCGCATAGGCAGGTTTATTTTATTGGAATCCAAATTTAACTACGCTATGGATACTAATTTATTTAATCACCAACCTACCGCGTCGGTGGCACAGTGGTTAGGACTCTCGCCGACCATGCATATGGTCCGGGGTTCGAGCCCCCGCCGACGCACACCTGATATCTATGGTCGAACTGCAAAATTTGGGCCACCGATATCCATGCTAAAAATTCCATACTTGTACCAAAAATACAGTGTGGAATCAAGCTGTAAATCAAAAATAAATATTATAAATAAAAATACTACTTAAAATGAACCGAGACGGTTTGTAGTGTCAGTCAAGTGACGTAAAAAGATGAATTCATCTGATTCATATTTCGTGGACAAGGTCTCTGCTCAGACGATTTAACTCCTAAAACGTTTTACAGTGAAATGTATTTCTGTCATTCTATGGTGTTCATTACAGAGCCTTCGACTACAATAGGTGACGACAGTCTGAAAACTGGCACGATTTGAATGCGTGCATCATTCTCATGCACTAAGTAGACGTTAGTGCTCATAATGATTATGAGCAATAAATTGTGCTCGAAAGGTCGTCAGTAAATCTTACTGTATGACACGGTGAGACTTAACCAAAATAAAATTCTCTCCATAACGAAAGACTATAAATGCCAGGGAATTGCTAGAAACATTGTACTAAGACGAATCAGTGCTTAACAGACATTATTGTCGATCAAATTGATCAACTAATAAAGAATAATCTGTGGGACGAAAGAAGTCAAATACTTAGCCAATAAAAGGGATAAATACTGATGGAAATTAAGAGCGAGTCGCGGCGAGGGTTGTCAGAAGATACTTTCATCGCGATCATGGAGAATGCCGACAAGTTGACTTCGCGTTACACCTTGCTGTGAAGATGTCTAGGAAGACAATTAAAGCTTCTCAATTAAATCACCTGGTAACCACAATCAGGCGTCCTAACGACCTGGATACGCCACAAGAATAGGAAGCATATAAGATAGCTCCGATTGGTGAAATATATTTATCACACGACTTTCAATTCTTGACATTTTTAACGATGTGAGTACTGAGACTGTTTGAATAGTTAATTACCAGACTAAAAGTATTTTGGAATTTGAAGTAACAGTCAGCTGTCCATGTCGAATTCCTGAGGCATTTCCCAGTGAAATTGAAGGGGCAGCAAAATCATAGAAAAGGTAAAACTATGACAGCCTGAATTAAAGTGTAATAAATTGGTTTCACAAAAAGCACTGATCTCAGATATAACTTTTGTCAATATACTTACCATAAAACACCAGTGTCATATGACTTTGAATCATTATCATTTGAATAGTTTGATGAAAGCAAGTAACATCATAAACACCACCGACAAATTCTTCTGAGAAATTTATATGACCATCGTAATACAGCCTAGGCTTAAATCCTTCTGGATGATGTGTGATAAAAATATATGGAAATTCTAAGAGGCTCATTTCTTTATCAATGATACACTGAAGTGTTTGATTTCTCACATAGTACTTCAGTTTGGGTGTGAAGGCAATGCTACTTGAATCTGCATTTTAAAAGTATGTAAATAATATAATCATCATACTAACACCGTGATGAATATAACGACTGACTAATACATATCATTATTATCATCATCATGAATTATTATTGTATTGTGAATTTCAAGTATTACCTTTAAAACCATATTTGACTTAATTTCGAAGAATTTCGTTCAAGATCACGTGTGTTATTAAGAAATATTAGTAAATATTAGTTTAAATCATTCGGCTATCTATGAAACTTCCCACGTTGAATAAAGCACAATGATTATTCCACTTCATATTGTTTTAGTAGTTCATTTACGCTGTTAGTGTAGCTGGTTTCGTATTTTTGTATTCACCGAGGTAATAATATTCACAATCCTAAACTTGTATGCATGGTGTACCTCTAAAGTATTTTTATCTGTTCATTGTATTATGCGTTTAAATGTGAGTTGAAGCAACCAACATAACAAGTGGATATAGTGATTGCTGATAATTCCCAGTCAGTAGTCACGACTTATCATTATTACAATACACAGAAATTCATTAGCATTTCTGTCGTATTTCACCCTGACTGCCTATCACAAACAAGTGAGTTTTAAGAATAGTAAAGACTGAAATCAAACTCGTATTCACAGTTAGTTTTCATTTTGGATACCTTCATAGCTAAATACTAGGTGGATTACAGTCATTTGACTTCTTTTACACAAGTCAGTACGCCCCGATATCTCGCAAAAGTGACTGATTGCTTAATTCATTGTTGAAACATTCATTTTTTCTTGGTTTTCTCCAGACTAATTAAACTATTATATGAACTAATTGGCAATTCGAAAAGAGCGTTATTCAGACATTCTTCACAGTTTACCAGCCTCAGGATTGAAGATGGTGAGCAAGGTCCTGATAGTTCATATCCCCGTTAAGATTTGTTTTCTCCTTTAAACAATACAAAGAAGAAGTTTCCGTTGTTTACTCTGATGATCAGTAGCAGTCGTTGACATCCTATTCACAAGACCAAAGAGATAGTTCACATAAGAAGATTAAATTATTTTCGTCTAAAAGTGCAAATAACACACAAATGTAAAAAGAGACCTTCCAGTTGACTATATATGAATGTATGGATATATGGTCAGTCAAATGATTGCCTAGATCAGGTTGGAGAATGGATCGGGTATTCACTGACTCACTCACCCACTCACTCACTCAGAAACTCAACTAGTATAACTACTACTACTTATCATCGGGATCGAGGTAAAAACATTTCAAAAATACAAAGTCACTGGAAAAAATGTACGATGATAAGTCCATTCTCCTCATTAATAGCTGGATAGTTGATTTCCGAAGCTTTCATCCCCTACTAGGTGACATCTTCAGCACATACTTCAATTTGAAGTGAGCTTTTAGATTTCTCCACGAGTTTATTAATTATCTGTCCTCGTGCCCTTGAACGTGATTCGTTGTTATTGTGTGTTTTTACACATTTTTGAAAGTCTTAGTCAAGCGAAAAACCAAAGGGGAAATAGAAACTCAAGTGTATAGAAAATCAACTCACACAGAGCGAATCCTGAATTACAACAGCAACAATCCAATAACACACAAAAGGAATTGCATATAATGCCAATATAGATAAGATATTATTTTGATAAATCACGCAGTGTTGTACAGTTATATGAACTGATGACGTTTCGAGCACAAACTATTGCTCATAATCATATCAAGTTACTCACACAACTTTGTTCTTTCATTTATATACATGTGTAGAATCGATTAGATATTGGATTAAAAATCAATGTGAGATAATGTACATTCAGAAATAATCGTACGAGTGTTGTTGATCAATTGCAATTAGATGGGAAAAATCGACGAGTGTTTTTACAGTCATAATAAGCTACTTGTTAGAATGTGTTTGAATTGAAATAGAATTTTAAGATTATTTATTATCCTCTCCTGATTTGACCTGCGGTAATAATATCTTCCATATCTCTGGTATTTGCATTGAGTCATTTTTGTTGCATGTGTTGGGTGTAGACTCGATAAATAAGGATTCCGTAATCAAACTCCCTCTCCACTTAGCTATATTACTTTTTAGAATTTTAACCCTATCCCACCCTATTGTGTGGTTGTTTGTTATTGCATGAAGTGCAGTAGCTGAGCTTTTTTCTAAATTACTTATCTTTTCAGGGTCAACCATTCTTAACTCAGCTAAATTCGTATGTTCTGTTAATCTGACTATCCCTGACCTACTAGTTTGACCTATGTAGTTGGCCTCACAGTCATTGCAGGGTATTTTGTAGATCATATTATTTTGTTTAATTGGATCCACCGGGTCTTTTAGCCTACAGAGCTTGTGTCTGAGTGAGTTTGTAGGTTTGAATATCACCCTAATTCCCGCTTTGTTAAGAATCCTACGTAGGGCCTCAGATGTCCTCTCCTCATATGCTATAACAGTGGATGACTTATATTCTTTCTTATTTGTGTTATCACTAATAGTTTCACCATTATTTTTATTTTGCTTTTGGTTTTTACTGATCTTCCTAATGAATTTTATAGGATAGTTATTCAACACCAACGCTTTTTCTATCTGTTTTATTTCATCATTTAGATATTTTTTTGTGCTACTTAGTGCTATGGCTCGATTTGTTAGACACTTTACTAAGCCTGCCTTAACAGTTAACGGATGAGACGAATTAAAGTCTAAATATCTATTAGAATGCGTTGGTTTTCTATAAACACTAGTGTGTAGTTTGCCTTCTTCTATTCGTTTTATTTCACAATCTAACATAGCTAATTCTCCTAGTTCATTTTCTGATTCAAATGTGAATTTTATTCCCTCTACTTGTGAGTTTATATGTTTCAGGAAGCTAGAGATATGTTCTGTTTTTAACACCGTGAAGGTGTCATCCACATATCTCCACCATATTTTTGGAGTGGGGTTAAACGTATTAAGAGCACTACTTTCCCAGCTGTTTATAAATATGTCTGCTACAATAGGGGATATTGGTGATCCCATTGCTACACCTTCTGTTTGTCTATATATTTTGCCTTGGAACTTAAAGATGGTGGATGTGAGGCATAACTGAATCCCTAACATAATTTCTTCAATGGGCAGCTTTGTCCTATGATTCAGTTCAGGATCCGCAGTTAATTCTCTTTTAACTGCTTCTAAGACCGTAGTGACTGGTATATTAGTGTTATATCAAAACTAACCATTTTTTCATCATTCTCTAGTCGAATGGCATTTAGCTTACTTTTCATCTCATATGAATTAGTTAGTCTAGAGTTTGAACGATTTCTAATAGGACAAAGTATTAGAGCTAAGTGTTTTGATAATTCATAAGTGGGGGTATTTCTAAAATCTACTATTGGTCTTATTCTAAAAAGTAATATAGCTAAGTGGAGAGAGAGGTTGATTACGGAATCCTTATTTATCGAGTCTACACCCAACACATGCAACAAAAATGACTCAATGCAAATACCAGAGATATGGAAGATATTATTACCGCAGGTCAAATCAGAAGAGGATAATAAATAATCCTAAAATTCTATTTCAATTCAAACACATTCTAACAAGTAGCTTATTATGACTGTAAAAACACTCGTCGATTTTTCCCATCTAATTGCAATTGATCAACAACACTCGTACGATTATTTCTGAATGTACATTATCTCACATTGATTTTTAATCCAATATCTAATCGATTCTACACATGTATATAAATGAAAGAACAAAGTTGTGTGAGTAACTTGATATGATTATGAGCAATAGTTTGTGCTCGAAACGTCATCAGTTCATATAACTGTACAACACTGCGTGATTTATCAAAATAAAATCTTATTTATAATGGAATTATACTCTACCACAGTGCCCAAGTTTTATACTTATATCAGAAATTGCATACAAACACTATTCAAGAGGGCGAAAACTCATTGCAGCACCCCGAGCTTAAGGAAAATTGAAGAAAAGTATCTCATTGACGTCTTCTAAAAGAATGGATATCCACGGAATTTCATCAAAAGACATATACCCCCAAGCCAACCTATGAAATCGAAAGTCCCCAGGGAAAGAACAAAAAAATCGCCTTACCATATATAAGGGATATCTCGGAAATCACTACAAGTCTGTTCAAACCTTTTTAGGAATTAACGTCTAACACAAACCAACAAAGTCGCTTCACTCAATTCTATGTCAACCAAAAGTCTCAAAAGCGAAAGAAGATAAAACCAACATCATCTACAAAATAAACTGTAACAACTGCGAAAAACACTACATCGGCCAAAGTGGACGTCCCCTTCGTCTTCGTATCCACGAACATAAGCTAGCCATCAAAAGACATGATATCCACTCCCTCATTTCACTACACACAGACAACTACGGACATCAATTCGACTGGGACAACGTTCAAATATTAGACAAAGGAAATAACAAGAATGCTAGAGAATTTTTAGAAGCTTGGCATTCCAGTGGATCATCAATCAATAGACACATCGAGATAGACAAAATTTATCAACCAATAAGAAAGAAACTTCACAGACAAAGGGTCAAAATTCAAGTCAAAGAAACAACCGGTTCCAATACAAGTAACCTAGAAGGTGTGAAAACACAAACAAACAACCAATCACGTCCAAGGTCACCAGGAGAGATGAATTATAAACTCGTGGAGAAATCTAAAAGCTCACTTCAAATTGAAGTATGCGCTGAAGATTTCACCCAGTAAGGTGATGAAAGCTTCGCAAATCAACTATCCAGCTCAGAGAACACAACCATATCAAATCATCCACTTGAGCTACAAATCTTCTCTATCATATCTGAACTGCTAATTCGTTAATCAATATTAATCGAAAGTGATTCAGTATACTGGACATTGGCTGCCACTAGTAGATATTCCATCAAACCTCTTTCAGAGAAAATGGTGGAATAGGTATATTATTATAGTATTTCCTCGTACTGATTGTATTTAATATTAGGATTGCAGTGAAATTCTTAGATTACAATTATCTGCAGATAATTTAATGCGGGTGAGTAGTACATTGGTAGAAATAGCATTTAGCTATCACCGTGTCTTAATGAATAGCACACATCTTATTGAAAAATATACACGTACTGCATACTTTTTAAAGAATATCACAAAGTAGAAGGCTAAATTAACATTAGACAGTTTCATTTGTGCGGTTGTCTCCTCCTTTCATATTTCAAGTAATTCAGTGATAACTAGGAGCTAACATTGATTGATTCACTCGATTCAATGTTATTTAAAAGGAAATTCCATCAACATCAACATGCTAAGCAGCAGTTTTGATTTCATCTCAGTGTTACAGTTCCTTCCCATTTTTATATCTTCTATGGTATCAATAACTTGAAAAATTGAAATGCATTCATTCAGTTAATTGACTTGTTATTAATTGTATGACAATGTAATCAATCACTTACACATTACTTGGTTAAACATGTCAGTTTTTTTATGTGCTAACAATCTTCCCAAGTAGATTTGTTTTAAATGGAATGTGATATAATGCCGATTATCAATGATTTCTGGTCCAGTCCAATTTATTACATTGTTTTCAACAGCAATACTCATTCGATCACCAAGTTTTGATTCAAAGTAAAAATGATTCAATTGATGTGGTCGGCCATCAGTTATAAAAACAGTTCTTTCCTTAAATTGTTGAATTCGATGTTCTTTTTCAGGTTTCAGCATTGTTGCAATTTCTGTCAAAGAAAAATGCATTAACTACTACTACATGATGAATTAATATAAATATAAAATGATTCTAACACTTCAATATGTAAGATTTATTTGGTTGATTGTGGTTGCACCATTCCTCCTTTTTGACAGCCATCGGTTGGATATGCCTGCAGTCCTACTGAGTCACCATATTCCCAGTGAGACTCAAAATCCTCGGCGGATGTATTAAACACCAAAGTGCAACCACTAGTCCACTTCAGTGCATAGGATATCAATTATTATTTTTTGGAGTTGTTATCAATAAATGGTCCATCAGAGGAGCGTACATATCAGCAGAGATGGAACATACCATTCCAATAAAATCAATCAGGTGGAAATAGGAAATAATATTTTAAAAATCAGATGTGTAAGATTTAGTTTATTTGGATAGTATTTTTGTATAAGCTAACTATCGTGAAATGTATTAAAGTGATGAGTTAGATTAGCATGACTGCAATCGAAGATTATATTGACTTATATAACTTCTACTTAAACGTTTATTGATGTTATCGTTCACTTCTGTGAATCAAGAGAAAAGTAGCTCCATGGAAAATATAGAACTATTATTTCGTCACTTTGTAGCAGGAGACAACAATTCAAGTGGTAGCAATACAATCAGTCCCGAGGTTAGTTGGTTTGTCGAGTAATTCTGAGTAATCATCACCTAGTATCTACCTGGTGGACTGTGATGCACTGATGTCTTTGACGCTTATTTTGTCTTATCGTAAGCTGCTTAAATTTTCTTGCTAAATCAGTAGTAATAATAGTAGTATCTTTAAGGAAAATGATTGAGTCAGTGTTGGCTAAGACCTGAGCTTACAGTATAAATAATAAAATCTGTTAAACTTAAGGATGTTAGTTAATACAATGAAGAGAATTAGTTAGGCATTACTAATAGAAATATTACTTATACTTGAAAGACACAGTGACACTGAAAAAATTCAGGAATACTAACAGAATAATTTATACAAGTATGTATTTCCCATAAGTGCGTTGTCTGCATTGCTCGACTACAACTCTTCCCTTTACCTACTCTTTGAGAGACTTGTGTGATTTCTTGAATAATTATGTGTTCTAAATAAGCCTCTTGTAGATGAAATGCAGTTACTATAAGATGGTAATGTGCAAAATGTACCATCTTGCTGGTTCCTATTCAGTTTTCACGCTAAGTTTAAAGTGAACTTTGTGAAGATCAACATGAATTTTCTATCTAGTTTTCACCGAGCTTGTATTTAAATCCGTCAGAGTACCTGTACCCAGAAAGTAAGTTCTCAAACTTATATTCATCAAACAGTAACATGTCTTAGAACTCTTCTCAATCTTCCATTTACGTATCTCTGCTGAAGACAATGAAAAATGAATACGCATCTCCAAGACCAGATCTAGCTTTTCTGATGACAACAAAAGCACACCACATACATGGACTTAGCTTAGTGGCAACTTTCCACCTAATGCGATTCTATTGGTACTAAAGATACACACAGTTACATTAGGTACAATATACTGACTAATTAGCTCACTCTCACTTGTGCTAAGTTTACTTCTCATTTGAACAAAGGTATCTACTGATTCATGGTAGTTTTCCTCCACAAAGTTAATATGAATGGGAGGCTCTTTTCCTTTGTTATCTTTGAAAGCACTGTGAAAAGTGACATTAGACTTCATTCGTGGTCATTTTTATATGGTTGATATGGTGTAGATTTAAGATGTTTTATAATATTCTGTTTGCAATAATCCTCAAATACCTAGTAAGCAATTTGTGACACAATCAATTCCTAAGAAAGCATCGCTAAAAATTACGCACAAGATGACATCACAATTCTGAGCAGAGATAGCACACAAACTCAGAGGACAGTCTAACTGATATATATATATATATATATATATATATATATATATATATATATATATATATATTTATATATATATATATATATATGGTTGGGGCAATTGGCAGGAAGGCTTAGGTATAGGTTTCGTGCTAGTTGGCACTCAACAGTCAGAAAGGCGTATCCGAAACCCTGAAGGAACTCAGTTCCATTATGAGATTCAAACAAGCGCCACCCGGTGAGTCAGAGACATTACCATCCAGCTATTTGGGCTTGCAACTGACCTCCTGTAGGACTGTGTTGATTTTGATTGTACACTAGTTAGTAACTAGTGTAATGTGACTAGTCCTTTGTTTAGTGCAGACTGAATTCTACCCATCACGTTGTCAATGTGACCACCATTCTGGGTGACTCAGGATAATGCTATCCTTATTTATTAGTCATAAACAGGTAACAAACCCTCTGGTTATTTTCAAAATAATAGACAGAAAAATGTTTCGTGTGATGAGCACAATTAACTCAAGGTAATCCAGAAAACAGTGGTACTTAGTAAACGAAGATGAAAATATGTTCAATTCCAGTGTGATATTGTCAGTTTCCAAAATACTTACTTATTCGGGCAACAAGTAGCAGTCTGGCTGAACAGAACGAACTTGACTGAGATCTGCAAATAAAGGTAGATAGCCTCGGGGTATGATTGAGTTTACTTTCTATGATCAGTTCGCTTTCTATTCCCCCCTGACTTTTGGTATTTTTGATCGAGTAACTTTCGTCGCCATAAATCATTGACCATTTGGGTGATTTGAATCCAGATGCCTCGTATAGTGTACATGAAACTTGATAAGTTTTGGTAGCATCAAATATCATCATTGCACCTCGAAAACTTAAAGTAATATTTGGTAAGTATTTTGTTCTGCCTACGCAAAAGACAGTGTAAATCAGTGTCACTTTTCACATAATAATATTTTGGAAATTTATTTGTGAACTTTTAATCGACTTTGTATAGATGTTTACATCAACAGTTGTGGTGGAGAGATGGCTGGTCTGATAGACAGATAAATACCATGAACATTGTGGAATGATAGTGGTAAACCTATTCAAGTAATATAACTCTCACAAGCGTTGAATACGGGCAATATGCAAAGTCTGTTAAAATACTACGACAGAGGGTAATGTGAAGTGAATAAATGTATAATACACCCGAATTAGAAAAAATGTCTCGTAATCCAGTTTTACCTGCGATTAATAACCACAAGGAAATTTTAGAAAGAAGCCGAAAGCAGATGAATGAAATGATATTTATAATTGTGTGATGGGGAGAGGGATTTGAGTTACAGATGTATTAGAACAAGCGATCTCCACATTTAAATCATCTCTCAACCAAAGTTTCCTTTCTAAACATTACCCTAGCATATCTGGTCGTTATGTTAAATTACGGCTATTTCACGTTATTCAGACAGTCTATATCAGTCGTTTATTTTAATCGACTCGAAGTAATCAGTGACATATGAGACCAAAACTACAACGAAATGAAGCAATAATTGCTTTCAGTGGCAGAAATATAACGGCAATCACCCCTTTCACTTACCTGACCTGGGAAGTATCGTTTTAATTACAGACGGCACGGGTGAGGGTGTCAAATCCACCTGTGATCGGAAATGCAAGACAGACATTCAGTAATCTGAAGTGAATATGCAGATGAATAGTATTCAGTGTACGGAACAAAATTCTCATTTTCAACACTAATGTTAATCCAGTCAGTCAGTCAGTCAGTCAGTCTGTCTGTCTGTTTGTCTGTCTGTCTGCCTGTCTGTCTGGATTCAACGTAGAACTTGGCACCGAAGTGCATCAGTTCGAGTTGCCACGTTCCAAATAACACACAAAGGTAGACAAGAAGATGAGTGAAGAGAATCAATAGAGTTTGACAAGTATAAGAGTAAAACAGAATGGGTAATGGTAGAAAGGAATATGAAAGATTACAGATCCAGTCAGTACTTCTGTTTGGTTCGAAAACTTGTCACATGCGTCACGCACATCACTTTCAACACGCTGCAGAATTTGATTAATAACTGCCCTCGCTAGCTACATACTGAAGATTAGATGGCAGGCCTAACAGAAAGAGTGAGCACAAAGAAACTCTGGAAATGAACTAACCAAGAATCTATTACTCAACAAATATACCGAGGAAAATGGGGATGGATAGGAGAGGGTTGAGTGACATCACATGCCAAATCCTCGAGTGGAACCTTAATGAGGAATGACGAAATGCGTTTGCATCAAAGAGTAAAATGATGAAGATTGTGTTAGGAGGAAATGAGAGCCTATGCGTAGTCGCCGAGTCGGCTAAGGAAGACTGAAGACTGTTGACTCACTGTGTTCCACTTGGAAGCCAAGGGAACAATAGTGATGATAGAGGACTCATGTAGTCGCCAGGATGACTTTGAAATGTTAACCAAATGCAAATTTTGAATTGAACTTCCCAGTCAATCAGTCTGTCAGTCACTTATTTAATAAGGGTGAGATCTGATTTTATAGATACATGCATTTATTCAGCAGGAAATGTGACACAGCAAAAGTGAAACTTACTGACGATCTCAAAGTTTAGGTCCTTTCGCAGATATATGTGAGTCGCATTCAGAGTACACGAACACTGCTTTTCACCTAAAGTAATATTTTTCCTTGTGATTAAGAGATTCTTTTCAAATCTGAATCCATATTCACTCGAGCAATTCTGCCAACGAACCTTATTTACCAGTTCCTTTATAGGCTGCAAGTGAGTCGGTCCTCGAATTTTACATGGGAATGTGTGCTCTTCGCCTGATAGATATTTTTCACCATCTCTGTCAGTATGAAGTGATAATTCTGTTTTATCTGGAATAAAATAATACCAAAACAGGTGAGTCATTTTTAGTACACTCTTCATCGGAGAATATCTATAAGACGTGCTTTTGAAATTTATAATAGGAAGGCGTTACCAATATGATCTACCGATTAGTTATTAACCAAGGTCATTTACCGTAGATGAAATAGGCAGCTAGTGATCCTGTATGGTGAACTAATAGCAGTTATGAATGATAACTCCCTAGATTCCGAGCTACAGGCAGATAGATGGACTTGTAACGTGATCGTCGTGGGCCTGATGAGCCACAGGATTGTGAGTGAATACCAGTAAAGAGTCGAAGGTGAGGTGAAGTAGACACTGATCTCTCCTTGTTTCTTCGTCGTTTTCTAGCTGATCACATTTGGTCATGAAATCTACTTTCGATTTGCTTATATTTTCATGGTGGTCCACACTGACAATTACTCAGAGAAACTATTTAATTTTTCAGAATAGATTTTATCATCGATATGTAGGACTGATGCTCCAACCTATCGAAAAGAATTCGCTGTCATACAGATGTTATCTTGAAGTGGTAAAAGGTGTAAACAGCAAATATCTTTGATTTACGCAATATAATGAATCACATCAAAACCAAGTGAATAAATTGTGCTGATCTCAGCAACAAAATGCAGAATTCAATGATTTTATATATTTTTATGTGAACTCGCCAGCCAAATGCATAATTTTCAGTGTTAACCACAATTCTGGAAGGATCCGATTAGTTTCAACAAGCGGGTGAATATAGTACGTCTGAGGTTCAGTGATAGAATACTGACAGGTCAGGTGGGAAGTCCAGGTTTGTTTCCTTACTGTAGTAGTCTTAGACCTCGCTTAGACTGTGGTAATCGTGGAAACGAAGGAAGCTTTAGCATGAGACTAGCGACTTTGTCACTTAGAAAACAACACCACTGTTACTGAAACTTCAACGATTGTATTTCCATGTTTTACTAGTTTGCACATGATACTACTGATGTACTCAACTTCCACTGCCTCTACTTTTGCTATCATTATCTGTTTCTTGTCTTTTCAGAGACTGAAAATAACTTTATGTTTCGACTAAAACAGCGTATAAATAACAATGGCTCCTGTGCCTACGTTGAATATTTAGCCCACGCAGCCACAAATTTAATAGTTGTTGAAATATGGGTGGAAATATGTATTTCGCTTGCAACACATTTTTTCAAATCTGAATTAATGGGAGTTGCATAGGTGTCATATTTGTAGTTAGAGTATTTGTGAAATCTCAGAGAGAAGAAATTAAATGAAAAGCGGACAAGACGACAGCATCAAAGAGATTTCTAGAATGCAATCAGAAATATTTTGGACAACAGTCTACGCTGAACAAAAACAGCATCATTTCAAAAGGATAATATTAGATTAACGTGCAGCCCCTGCGTATTATTTGGTAGGCATATAGAATACACAAGTTACTTGTTTCTCTCTCTCTCTCTCTGATCAATGCGTTCACATGCTGAACACTACCAGTGAATATGCCTTAATCATTAGGTAAGAAAAACATCTTCATATTTAAAATAAATTGTTTCTTTACTGTTTGTTAACAAAGGAAATATCAATACAGCATAATGAATTATTGTCATCACTTACCCAGTACTACAAAACTAATGTTTCTAGTAATTTCACCATTAAATAAACTACAATTCGCTGTGTGCTTTGTAGAACTGGGAGAAAATCTAGACTGTTCCATTGAAATAGATCCGTTATTTCCTACAATATTATCACCTAGATAATTTATTGTGCATGTAATGTATTCTGAAGGTATTGTTTTGTAACTTGAGCTTTCTGGATCTAAATATTCAAATTGGAATTGTATGCGATCATCCTCGCCTAAAACCCATACAGATCTATTTTCTGTGAGGGTAAGGCGAAGTGAAGAGTCTTGAAGGATGAATGAAAAGAAAATATTTGAATAAAAAAAATGTATCGACAAGTGTAACTGTGGAGTACTAGGCTGAGAAAAATTCTTATTTATATCAACTGATAGTAATTAGTCTAAATGGATATTTTTCTTCTTCATAAAATATTTATGCCTTATGAGAAAGGATCAGTAGTCGTACGAAGATCAGTTTCTGTTTAGAATGCCTTCTGCTTGTTGTATCATCACACCTAATGTAGATGAGAAATGTTTGATGGGATGAGAAAAACGCACTTCCAATTAACATCAGTATCCTGATTTCTGCCAGTAAAATGAGGATGCAGGTGGTTTGCATCCGAGTAGTACACATGTGTTACGACGGGTTTGTATCCAAAAGAAGACTAAGAACAGAAGAGTAGAGGCGAACGGATGATCTGAGTAATCGAAGAGAACAAACTTAGAACCAATTTCAAGACTGAAAAATATTATAGGACAGGACGGGTGTAATGCAATAAATGCTTGATAAATGCCCTCTGAAAGATCTAACCATAACATTTACACTCATTTGAATGTTTCAACTAACTCTGCAATTATTATCCGTTTAACGCCTAGACTATATGTCATCGCTTTAATGTTGCATATCATGTGCTGACTTGATCCTTATAATTTGTGTTTGTTCTTGCTAAATCCCTAATTGGAATACTTCTCTTGTCGGTTGTGTGATGGTACTGATGATGTGATGACCTCCTATAGTGAATTTGTTTAAATGAATGCAAGATTATCATGTCGTGGGAATTTCGGCCTTGGATTATCATCATGACGTGTTAGGTGTATTTTATTCTTGCTGACGCAGTTCTGATTCCATTTTGTTGGGAATATTCTATTTTGTTCTATCCTATTTTCTTTTCTTTGAAATTTCGATGATAAGTATTCATTCTAATGGAGATATTAGAGAGAGAATCGCATCACTCACTCTGTTGCAATAGAAACGACTGGCTTAGATGCAGAAATCAAAATGAATATTATTATTAACCTAATTTCTACCAGTGGAATGTTTAAGTACTTTAATATAACGTAAGACTGTTTCCGTGTTAGAAATATCTGGTTACATACTCATGAGGAGAAATTACTGGTGATAGAGTCTGCTAATTCAGTAATTTCATCAAGATAAATAGACTATCCAGTAAGACTACATCCAGATGCGATATAAACTTTCGTCACATGAGCGCGTATTAACTTATCCTAGGGTTTAAGAGGATACTCAACCACGATGCAGCTTATCCTATTATCAGAGAAACTGAGACATATACAACTGAACTTCGATCACTTAATGCAGATAAATGTAGTCCCTGTAGCCCGCCATTTCCTCTTGATGTGACATTGACTCTGTCGAAGGATATAGAATCCACTTGGTGGAAGCAGACCATTGTCATTTTAACTGCAAAATCGCTTCCTTTTCAAGTAATACAACTCACGAATCAGGATAAACATTAAAAGATAAATAAGACTGAAAGTAGAGCACGTTAATTTTTGAAGTAGATGCGTACATAGAGAGGAAATCAACAGGCAAGAGGTGAAAGTGGCATTACGAATCGTTGCAAGAGTGATTAAGATGAGATTTCACGTCAGTATTACCATCATGAAATACATTATTTCGTGTCAGTGCAATAGATTCTTGACCTATAGGATTTTCTGTTGATAGAACAAGTTGGTGTAGGTAAATCTTTTACTGTGGTTGTGTAACAATTCACAAACAAGTTCACCTTTTGAATATTTTCTCTATGTGTCACCTATCAAGTTGCCATGTCATTGCCACCGGCCATTTTCGAGCTGAAATCATCTCATTCTTCTCTCATATGCTCTGCTGACTACAAAACTAGTCAGAATTTGTTTGAAAGGTATTTTTACTTAAGACCTATCTCCACTAATGTAGACACCTAACGTGTGCCTGAAACTTACCGTAAAGAAATACTTTTTTCTCATAGTTCATCCCGTCGCAGTAGATGATATAAAAACCAGTCTTTGGAAAGGGTTTTTGTAAAACCAGTTCTCCATTGTCAAAAGTCAGCAAGTTTTCAGAATCATGACATTGAATTGGTGCCATTTCAAAACCCTCAAATGCTTCAGACGAAAAATATGCTTCATCCACTTTTTGTTCACATATCTTGATACGCTGTTTACTAATTAAAATTGAATTATATTCATAACAACTTGGAATCAACCAATTTTCACCAATAATTTGAATACTCTGAGACACTATAAAATATTCATCATCTAGAGGATGACAATTGACATCTGGTTTTCCCACTGGCAATCTACTGTACGATATATTGTTGATGAAAGATACCGTATCTTGTCCATAGTCAAGTGAACATTCTACATCCAACTGATTCAAATGTTCATTTAAATGAGCTTGTTTAGATGTCAAATAAACAATAAGACTTTGATTATAATTTGACCGGTCTGATTTTAGAATAACCAAGTTTGGGATAACTTTTATAGATAAATCCTTGTCATCTGTGTAGAAATGTGTATACAAAACGAAGAATATGCTTTATTATTTACGCGGAATTCTTCAAGTACCATTTTGCATGATACGTGATTTAAGACAAATTAGGATGTGAAATTCATTTACACTAAGTCTACTAGGCAACCGAATAATAATAATTCATTTCTACAAATTAGGCTTAGATAACAGATTCTCAGATAACTGCTATTGCTGCTACTACTACAAGTACTATTCGAATCTCCCACACTCACAATTTTCACTATTTATTTGTAGTCTTTGAACTCGAAACAATCAATGATGATTTCTGGAGAAACAGCAGTGGTTTCCTTATGGAAAGGATGTATTCATTTGTATCATCAAAATTTTAAACATTACTACTATTATTATTATTATTCTCCTTTACACACATAATACAGTCTACTTCTGTGGCAATTTATTAACCCAATGAAATACACGATCATGAATGAACAAGCATTTAGAGAAATGCATTTCACTCCTGTTCTTTGATGTTGGAGATGCTTTTCGAAATGTGACAGTTGAAACTAAACAAATCTGAGTGATATTTTACACTGATTCGTAAATTAGACAGTCATCAAGGTGACCAATCATGCAACGACACTTGAACGAGCCAATTAATTTCACTTGAGGTCTGCCTCTGTTACTGATAAGAACTGGTCGAAGATGGAATCGATATTTCAAGCTAAAAGTGAGATTTATATCATTTTAATAGGATAATTTAACTGAATTTGTTGCTTCATCCAAGCAGTATAAGTTGTTTTACCACTGACCTAGCTTATTTTTGTGCGCTGAAATGAAGATTTGGTCGAAATAAGATGACCCTCATAGTCATAAGTTATTATTAATATTATTGTATCCTTTAGTTCCTAGAGGAACATAGGGCTTCAGCTGCGCACCTCCATTGACTTCGGTTTTCTGACAACTTTTTCACCCTGCTCCAGGTCTGTCCACATGCTTTCATCTCCTCCTCGCATGACCTCCTCCAAGTCACCCTTGGACGACCAACTCGCCGCCTCTCTTTCGGGTTCCACTCGAGGGCTTGTCTAGTGATGTCACTTGATGGTTTCCTCAGCGTATGGCCAATCCATCTCCATTTCTTTCTGCCTATTTGTTTCACAATCGGTTCCTGATTGGTTCGCTCCCAGAGATCCCTGTTGCTGATCTTTTCTGGCCATCTGATCTTGAGTATTGAGCGGAGACAGTTGTTAATGAAGGTTTGAAGTTTGTTTGAGTCATAAGTTAGTATTTGTCATATGATATTTTCACAGCCTATTGTTACAATATGTAGTGAAGGAGCGTGGTTTGACTTCATATTTAATTGAGGTGTTTAATTGCATTCACTAGTGGTGTACATGAGACTTAGACTACTTTGTCACATGAGTTATTCCTCAAAAAACATCCCCATCTGTAACAAGTGACTTGTCCCGTGAAATAAGATTGAGTCGTGAGAAGGCTTACCAGTTCAAGTTTCAACTGATAAAAATTAGATTTTGTACTGTATCGTGAGCTTCATGACTGAAAGTATTGTATCATCAATAAACTGAAATCGGCTATCGAGAAGCTCATCTTACTCAGTCTTTGTTGTTACTATTATTATTTTTATTTCATGGACGATATGTTGATGAGATGATTAATTAATGATACCTCTTTTTGCTAAATTGCTTCTGTCTCCTTAACATATTGGTAAATGGAGTAACAAGCACTAGTGAAGAATCCTTTCTTCTCATAAAAGATGCTGAATACCTCCAACACGCTTTCCACATTGAAATCTGAAGTGTTTCCAGTTTAACAAGGGTATCTAAATGTTTTATAAACTATTTAATACTCATCTATGACTTGAATGGATCAATGGTGATGTTTTTTCTACTGCACTAGTCGGCACAACATTTGTATCTCTGAATTGGCTTCCTTTCTCATCAGGGTTAGCAATACTTCAGATTGATAGGTGCTACTAGGTGTTAAATCTAAGCTGAGAATTTTCAGATTACCAAACACCAATCGGTAAATGCTTCATTCTTATATATATCACCAATAGTAGAAAAATGATGAAATTCAGAAATAGTCTGTTACACAAGGTATTACCGATTAATGTAGAATGATTCAATGAATTCAATATGAATACGATAATTCTTTCACAAGGAATTTGCCCACTCTCTGTCTCATCTTCGTAACATTGAAGCGTCTACCTCTCTGGACTGAAGACATCCAGATAGATACTTGAAAATTTCACTGGATACAATTATAAAGTGGTTGGAGTAAATGAACATATCTATATCTTCCTGAGGTTTTTTAGTTGTCATGGCAAGTAATGAATACATTTTGCCTTTTTAAACAGAAAAATTCACTTCGTCAGTCAGAAAAATTGTGTAAAAAGTGTGTGATAAAATTGTTGGCTTTCTGTATTGTTTTAACTGACAGTGATCAAGAAGTTATGAATTTTCACCCTAGTCTTATTGAAAAAAAAGAAATTGTACAGACTTTGATCTGAATTCATGCATTACAGTGATGTCAAACTGGTCATAGAAGAGAAAGAAGAGGAAGAAGCAGATGATTATTCGAACAGCCAATGATTATTTAAATGGATATTTTTAAAACTGATTATTACTTTACTTGCCTGCAAAAATGAGTTTTCTTTTCTTATCAATATGAATAGAAATATTTTTGTATGTACAATTCACAGAAACTACGCCTGCTTTCATCCCTGCATGAAAGACAAGATATTGATTTACTATATCAATCTTCTCAGATAGTTGGTCTGTATTCCATGAAATGTACTTCGCGTGATTGGAATGCAGTTGACGATTGCCAATCATCAGATAACACGAATAGTAGTATTGTCTACTTGTTAAATGAAGTATACGCTCCGTTTGTTTAATATGTAAGCTTAAGTCACTTTTTTCTTTTGTATAAAATACAGAAGAAAATCAATATTTTATACAATTACTTATTTGTTGTAATTAGCTTTTACAAACTTGCTGAGTAACTCGAAAACCAACCAATAATGAAACAGATACATCGAGTGTAAAAATGTAGTAGAATTTAAAGTTGTATATGAACCTTATGCACAAAAGAAAAAGTACTATATACATATACTCAGTTACGAAACTGACTGAACCAAATCCTTATTGATGTCATTTGTGAATACAAGTGAAGAGTTGAAAAATAGGACAAAACAACCGTTCGGTGTTATCTGGTCCCTGGTTATCTGACTGACGTTAGTTGATTTTCTTTTAAGACTCTTGTTTACTAAATGCACTTTTGAGTGAATTACGTTCATGTCGGTTTGTGACGAACACTGTTAGGAAGAAGCAGCAGTCTTTACACCTGTGTAACTTGTTTAACATCAAGACAGTTAACAGTAGACTTATCGTCTGAATGTAATTTAAAATCGGACTGAATGGACAGATTGCAGGGTGTTTGAATATACATACATGTATCCATCGACTTTACGCTAAAATACGCAAAAGGGATTTTCAATAACGAAGCTAAGAAGAGAAATATGCTTATTTTCAACGTTTGTTTTACGCGGTTTCATCACTTTATCAGAAATTAGTTCACTCCTTAAAATAACTTGGTCAATCTGTTTAGTGAAGATAGTGCTGAACATACTACCAAGCCTGGTGATATTGATCTGATGATGATCATGATTAGATGTGACAATTAGGAAAATACCCAGCAATTCGGATCAAAAATCTCATTCCTTTTCTACACGTATTTTAATTTTCATAGGTAGTTGTAATGAATTGTGATGGGTTGTGAACAAGTTGAAACAAATAAAGACTGATTAAGTGAAGGGAAATTCTTTCAATATTCCAATCATTCAATGGTTAGCACCTTTGTAAGTCACCAAGTCATGTGTGATGTGTTATCCTAAAATTCTTCTACTCATTTTTCGATTAAGACCGAGTAAACAATACTTCCACTATACATTAAACTTTCCAAGTTCCATTAAGTTGAAATTGAACAAGATCTATGTGTTGAGAAAATGCAGCAAAAGGTCGTTTAATTGATCACTAGGGTGTAACTGTTGTCATACATCTACTCCTTGGTATTGGTGCCGACTGAATTCTTTCTGTCATATGTATAATATGGTCAGGAGGGTTACTGACTCGCTGTCGTAATGCTTTGGTGTTAACGAATAGGTGCTGGCGATCGAAAGATAGCATCCAGTTAAAGTCAACTAATTGAAATACATCTTCTCACATGACTCTAAATGGCAGTCACGGATTGCATTAAGTGACCAGGTTAATCAATGAATACCAACCGTTGCCTATTACTGCAATGTAGTGCTTATCTACACAAATAAAGGCATTACAAATCTAAAAGGTGTACAGTTTATGGTACATTTCTGGCTGATTCGAGGTCTTTGTTCTCCCATAGCACATGTATGTGGCAGTTTCTTCCATACCAACTGTTTGGAGAGTAATCAAAAAAAGAATGTCTTTCGTGGTTAGAATTTCTATCATAAGACAATGCTACACTTCTTGGAGAAACCCCGATAAGTTTAGAATTACTAATCAACTATCACTGATACACTCATTGAAGCAACATAAATTATAATCATATTTATGCATCTGAAGAAAAGATTGGGCAGCGGGTGTATGACGTTTATTATCACAGAAAAATTTGTACTTCCTAGTGAATAAAAACCAGTATGATGTTGTTTCTACTGGCATTTCTCTGTTTAGTTTTGATGTCTTTCTCAAAGTAATTTACAAAATCTTAGTCTATACTGGCTCTATTATATCTGAAACATTCCATTTTATGCACAGAGTTCCATAGTATCTCTTTTCTTGAGTAATCGAGAAACTGATGTGCAAATTGGTGGTGAATCTCACTCAAGTTGAATCCATGTGCAAACGGTGTTATAATTAATTCTAAAAGAAATATCCATATGACGTTTCTTTGTAAACAAAAGTAAATGCATAGCTAGAGCTTCCTTAATCATATATTTCTAGAGATAGTGGCCTAATAATATATTTCACAGTGCGATTGAAATATAAACTTACTTGCAACACAAATTGTTGTATTCCTTCTAAGGTTACCGTTGAACGCCTCACAGATAACAGTTATGTTCACCGGTGTGATATTTAGTCGGTCTTCAATATCTAGACTCATTTTATTCCCATTAAAAATGTCTGAACCGAAATCCGGATTGTGTGTTCTACAAGTATACTTATCATCTAGAATATCCTGCCTTGTGAAAACGTTTGGTGTTCCAACTTGATTATAATAACCAAAATTAAATTCAACAGAATTTCCAGGTTCAGTTAGGAAAAATTCCTGCTGTATTTCTGTATTCAGTAGGATTTCTTTGTCTATATTGAAAAACAGTCAATACGTTTAGAAGTATGTGCACATGACGTATGATGTTCAATAAAGTTAGGAGTAATAAATTACTTTCCAAATATAATTCTAATGGAGTACTATGCACTTTCAAATCAAAGTACTTAAAATAACAGTAGGTAGTTGACAAGCCTATGTAAAAATGCTACTCATGACACTTTTATTGATCATTCAAAAGAATATGATCTACATATTTTCACTTTGTCCAATACATTGGAAAGATATACATATTACACAAATCAGTACAAATGTCAAACAGTTTAACAGATGATTTTTCTAGGATAACAATCGATTCAAACGATGTAGTTAGGTAAGTCTTACACTTTTCATAGGTGAGCAGAAGGTGATTTAGACCATAAATGAATAAATTTTTATTAGAAATTAGTCAGTGGTCCTCGTCAAATGGTCATAAGCTGAATCGCTTCAAATGTCAGACTGTTAATTTCACTTTCAGACACAAGTGCGACTTACATGAACTGGTTGGTTCGCATGATTCCACCATCACACTGTCCACTATCATCATGTAATCCAAGCGGCGGACTAACTCTAATTCACCTCACATACATAGTACATCTGTCAAATCTGATAAAATATATGAATAGTTAGTAATGACAGTCAAAGTTGCTGTAGTCTAGATCTAGATAGCAGTTGCTTTCAATACTCAACTTGATTCAGTATGCGTTCAGGAATTTCAGTGGTGTGCAGTAGTCTAGTTACAATTACAGAGCTTATGAAATACGTTAAAATAACTCGTGAAGTATAACTAGAAGTTGTTTGCTTGGTGGTGACTAGCACTAACATGGATGACACGCGTTGTGTCACCTTTTGGACTTGTCGAATGACTTTACGAATCCTTCAGTGTGCGAGGGTGTCCACAATTTGGCGCGAATCAAACACTCATCGTTTCAAATGTTAGATTATTATCTAGACCACTGATCCAGGAAAGTAGCCCCTAAGTAAATCACTTCCATTAGGCGCTAATATACGGAATATCATTTTTTCAAAGCAGCACTACCTGCTGTATTCGGTGGGTATTAGGGCGTTTCAATAAATAGGCCAAAACATACTAGCATGATTTCATGGAAATTCCACAATACACGATTCACTTTTGAAATTGTTACCTCATGTAGTCCATTACGTTGAGCAGATATCAGCATCAAGTTAGATTTGCTGATAAATGTGCATCAAATGTAGCAGAGATCAAGAGAATAATGCCACCGATGATATGTCAGTCAGGAAAAATGTTCATGCAAACTTTCACTTAAAAAGATTATAGGTTTCCAGACCGTAGGTGTTACGAATTTCCTGGAATAATTTGAGCGCCGAGTTAGATTGATTCATTATAAATTATTTAAATTGATCCCAGCGTGTTAAGAAAATCAAAACAAGATTTTTCTGAACGTTTCGCCGTGTAAGCCACAGCTTCTTCAGCAGACTGACTTCATTTTATGTAAAAATTTTTGACTATATATTTTGATGATTAACTATAATCCGAATAAATTTGCTGAAGAAGCTGTGGCTTACACGGCGAAACGTTCAGAAAAATCTTGTTTTGATTTCCTTAACACGCTGGGATTAATTTAAATAATTTATAATGTTTCACTTAAAAAGCATATAAAAAAATATAACTTCTCATTCAACCACTAAAGCAACCGACTACGACGCTACAATTAGCGGGGATATGCAATAAGGTCACTCGTCCTACAGGTGTTAAAAATGAAAGCGAATTTTAGTGATAGATTGCAGCAATCAATTATTTAATCAAGATATAACTCACCGTAAACTAAAATGGTCTTTTCGAAACCGCCGTTATCGCAAACAATATCATGATAACCTAACAGACTCTCTCTACTGTTTCCCCACAGTATTTTGCCATTTTCATCAAATGATAATTGTTTTCGCTTGTCAAAGCATGACATAGAAATATAGCCATCGTCATCAGATGTGTTGATCCATTTAGGTGGGGTAATTAATTCATATTTGCACACAGGATCAAAATAATGATCGATTTCTATCACTGCATTTTGCATACACCTCAAAGTGAAATTTGATCGAGCTGCAAATAAAAGCGGTCTACTATTCCAATGAAATTCAAACATATCTGAACAGTTCAGACGTGCGAATCCAGGAGTCAAACGAGCCATGCTTATGGAGTAGACAAACTTCAGTGTTCTAGAGGTTTGAGTTTTGGTATCCATGTATTGAATTTGACACTGGACAGGAAATTCATATCCTTGGTCTGCAAGCTTTCGGAACGCTGGATTTATCCACTGTAGTGATGCATTCAAATAAGAATTATTTTCCAAAACTATGACTTGCTTTCCAGGGCTTAAATGAAGAACAAGGTCATCACGTCCTGAAAGAGCAGGAAGCAAATCTTTTCATTAGGCCGTAGTTTTGTTATTTTGTGGTATAAAGCACCGCGTGCTCAAAACAGTGGAGGCTATTGCAATTCGCCTCAAACAACCAGTGCTCTGTGTGCAAAACAAACAACCCCAGCCCCTACTACTGCCCTGGCCTTCAGTAGAGATTATACATTTGTAATATTATCCTTCCTAATTTTTCTGACATTCAGCTTATTTTATGTTGATGCTACTGAACTGTAATCTACTGGTATTATTGATTCGATGTTATTTAAACATTAATGTTATTCATAACACTAATTCTTTGATTAGCTATAATGTACTATATATATATATATATATATAACTGTAGAGCCTGATGATGAAGTTATTGAAAAGAGTATTCTCTGTTCAGTATCTATTCTTTTGTAAATTTTAATGGTCATTGTTAACCGATTACATGTAAGTTTGTCAAAACAAGTCTATGAAAGTGAGAGGTTTTCATAGAAGATCTAATTGTAAGGTGATATTTGGTACGGAGATTCATATAACTGCAATTGTAAGACAACAGCTTTCATTTGTTTCATGTAAAATATGAACAGACGATTTGGTTGCATGAGACCACTATGATAAGTGAATGTGTCTCTGAGAATTCACAAAATACACTGCAACGATTTGGTTTTTGCTACCAGAATTTCACATATGGAGTTTATTTTGTGTCAACAAGTACCATAGCTGAAACAACTCGTCCACTTAGCTTTGTGGTGAAATTAAATCGAAAACAAGTAATTCACTCAGGAAACTGTTTTCTTTCGTTACACATTCACATGGAAATAGAATTGTTTTCCATAAAAGACGGAAACAATGAAAGAGATCGATTGTCACGATCACAGTTGCTAATAGTAATCAATACACAGGAGAGAGTGAATGAGGGCGATAGGGTTATGTGATGAAGAAAAATGGGCTGAACAGTGACTTGTAATCAGGGTGCATATAGTAGTAGAGGAAACATAATATTGCTTGGGGATTTGAGAGAATAGAAGAGTTAGAGAAAGTTGAAAACAGGTTGTAAACAACAGTGCACTTACCATGATAGGATAAATGGTTTAAAAACTTTGTTCTGTATGCAGAGCTCCTATTTTTCTATCTGGATTACAAGACCCTTAGCAATGCGAAAGCGTATTGCCCTGCATTTGACAAATTGTTATTCACTTTGTTGATCACTTTGAAGGAGGAATTAATTGAATTTTGGTGACGAGAGTTGACGGGCTTTCCAATTACTGCTTTTTATACGGAGATGCCGCTTTTTTCTGCCACCCTGATGAACATATTTTCATAGGAGCAGACAAACTGACAGGTTAAGTAAGTTCAGTCCTGACAACCAGCCATCTGCTATTCAGTACTTAGAGCAGGTAGTCTACCGCAGGCTTTTTCAGATGCTTATGGTGGCGTGCATGACAAGCAACAGAACCAGATAGAAGCACTAGCTTGACTTCAGTGCTTAAAGCCGAGGTCTCTACATTGGTATCAAAGTGATGGACACCTGTCATGCTTTTCCGAACCCGGCTTTGATGTCCTCATTTGTTTCTCCTGTAGTTGAAATGATGCTACCTAGGTCAGGAGAGGAGAAGACACAGCTTGATTTAGATTTCTCTTGTCGATTGTGATTGGTAGTTGTTATTCTCAGCTGGGTATCCTCATCATATCTGTCTTCTAAACGTTTACTAGCAGTCCTGCATTGGCTACCTCCTCGTCGGATTGTTGGGTTTTGCTTGTAAATTTTCTAGTTTATGCTATACAAGACAGGAATCATTGGAACCTCGATCATTCGGGGTCTTTTAGTCTTTTTGGTGTATGCCGGTCTTCACATTCCCTCAGGGTTGCCCTATGACTGAGTCCAGCATAATGAGGAAGACGGTTGGTGACATCAGGCAGTCTCGTCTTACTTTTGTCTTCACTTCAAGGACTTCCTGAACATTCCATTGTGAATAACTTCGTATGTGCCATTATCATGTAGCTGTTGAATGGTATGTATAGATGTTTGCATCACTGCACTCCGTAGTGCTGAGTGAGTCGCAAAATGACTGCACAGTCGATGTAATCAAAGGTCTTTTCGAAGTCAATGAATTCTAAATTTGAACACCAAATTACTCCAATTAGAGAATCACTGAAAACCAGGGATTATTCGACATATGCTCTCTCTCAGCTTGGATATTTAATCAGCAGGCATCCATTAGTACAAAGGAAACAGGATTCTAGGCCTTTAGAGTACGAAGTCAGCCCCTTTATCATTCAGTCACCGAAACGGAACTCATTGGCTCATGAATTCTCACTTTTGCGAACTAGTGATATTGAGTGCGATCACGTTGGCGAGTGTCTACCCTCATACCTACCTTCATGGACCCCACTGGGTCCGATCGACTGTGGGATCATGGGTGTTGAATACTGACTGCCAAATCAAGACGAAACAGATCTCCAGTACTTTCTGGTTTTCAGTCGTTCTGTAACTGATATCAGTTGGTGAACAAACTTGAAACCCATCAAATGCCTGCAAAAAAACAAGTGGAAGTCGACTGAGTTGTGGTGTAGAGTTGACTATCAGTCTATGATCTGTTCGATGACGGAGCATGAAGTTACTTTTCGGTCCGTATTTGACTTGCTTTTCCTAAATCTACCTCCTTCCTAGTAGGGATTTTCATCCAGAGCATGGTTTTGTCTCCCCAGCATGAAGTAACTTAATACTCTGCCTGGAGTGTACATCAACATGATTCTTTGATAGCTTTTACAAATACTTAGATCGCTTTCCGTTCGAAGTTTGGCAAGGGTGACCCTGTTTCCATCTTTAGGCACTTTCTTTTCCTGCCAAAATCTGGTACAGTAGTGGTGCCAGCGAATCGGCTGAGGTCTTTCAGTCTTTTTTCAGTGCTTGTGAAAGGATCTTATCTGCTCCTGTTGCTATCCCGGTTTATAGCAAGCATTTGGCCTTCAAGAATTCTGTTGTTTTCAGAGAATTATGGTTTACCGGTAGATATACAACCATTGGTGACACTTCTGTACAGCTTATGAGTGGTGGTCGATTCAAGAGTCTTTAGAAGTGAATATTCCAATGTTCCCATTGATCCACTTCTTCAACATTTGTGTTTCCTTTGTTGTCTTACATTGGTTTCACCTGTGTTGACCTGGTTATCTGTTAAACTGTTCTGAAGTCCCTCTTACCTTCAGCCTGTTCTGGTTAAGTTTCCAGCGTGTCTCACAGTTGTCTTTTGTGTTTTCTGGCATTCTCCTTTACTCCCCTATTCAGTGTGCTGTGAATAATAGTCAGCTTCTTCTTTCATTGTTCGGCCATACACTAGTTTACCTTCGCATTACCACATATCCATCCTCTCTCAATTTCCAGATGATCGTAGAAAGTCATTTCTTGTCTACTCATTTCTACCTTCCTAGGAAGACTACACGGGATCCCTTCAATATCACCATCGGAGGTTTTCAGTGTTCTTTCTCGCAGGTTATTCGATGATGCTACGTAATGTCTCCGAATTCGTTCTGATGCATGCAACTATGATGTTTTTTGTAGTTTTTTTCTTTTCAGTTTCTGACAGCTGAACCTGAATTGTGATCTGTCACCAGTTTCTTCGAACGCTTTCAGCTATATCTTGGTGTACTAGATAATGGTGTGAGGCCGCATCAGCTCCTCCTTTTATTCTCGACTCCAGAAGCTGCATCTCCACTTCCTTGATATTGGGATCAAATCTTTATTAGTTCCAATGTGTCTACCCAATCCACGTCGAATGTCATCAGCAACTTTTAGATCATCGAGTTTGTCTTTATCAGTCCCACTACTCGGAAATGTCTATATTAGTCCAAAAGAAGGTGGCAATAGCCTCATGCTGGGGAATTTTATGCTGAATGGTTTTGTGGGAAGGAAAGTAAGACGACTACTCAGAAGATGAATGTAGATGTTACGCAAATACAGGTCAACAGAGGCTTTCTGGTAAGTGATATCAGTCTCAGACTATTTACCAAAAAATAACAGAAGAGTTAATGTAAGCATTCAATGGGCAACACGAATTGCACTGTTAACAAAAATGAAAAGCATTACAACACCTCTAAATCACGTCAGATAACTCACTAAAAAGTGTAACTTCTAACTGTTTTGTAATGTGAAACGTTTCAATCTGAAAATGACATTGAAACAAATGGATACCAGATGGACTGTCTTTGCTGAATGACAGAACATTTTGGTTTATAGTAAAAGTCCCATTAGAAACTTGTTTAAATGCTGGCTTGTAATTTTCAGTTTCCAAATTCTTTCCGAAGACACTTTTCACAGAACATGTGTACGTATCATTAGGGTTTAGTTCAGTCACAATCACCTCAGGGCCAGTTATAACGAGTTGAATCTTGTCCACACCTGAAATGAAGCAGTCACAATAATTAATAACTCAACCGTGGTAGATAACATAACACTCTTCAATCACTTCATCGACATATGAGAGAGAGATTAAAGCGATCGAAATCAACCAACTCATTTCATTTCAACAGCTGGAAATCAGCTGAAGTGAAACCATTCATGACTGGATTTATTTTATTAGATAAGCTTCTATCACAAAGTCAGTTCTACTTTCACTATGAAAGAGATTACTAGGCTGAAGAGATTTCACTATTCTCTATATCATTCTGCAGCAAAAAACAAAACCAACCAAAATGAACGTCCATCTACTAATTAATATCCTTCACTTGTTTCCCAGACAGTTAACATGCACTTGATCTTCGTCGTCAAAATATTTCACTTATTATTTGGATTCTGAAAAACTGCTGTTAGGCATAACACCAGCTGGTGGTGGTGATATTGTTAAAATGTTTATGCTTATACACACTACCTACTTATTGATACATACCGAGAAATAGAAATTTTGCTTTTCTTGTAAGAAATTGATTGAAGGCACTGCATTTTACAAAGTATGAGAAAGATATTTTCGTCGGACTTGAGGAATCAACTATCAGTTTATTACCGAAGAAATTAACTCCAATCCCCGATTTCGGTTCCAGTGAAGGTTCTAAAATTTCACATTGCATTTGTATGTCTTTCAACACTTGAAATTGTCCTTCTCGTTCACCTTGTAACGGGATTGCGAAGTTGAATTCGATTTCTCCGTCAATCTCGAATAAATAGTAAGGCTTTCGTGGATTAAGCAGGAGTATGATTGTGGATTCTGTAAAAATTGAACGAAAGAAACACATTTCGATCAATTTCGTTATGTATCACAATATTGCCTACAGTGTAGATTTGGGAACCTACTGAAAACATCGGTTGTGCCACTTGAGATTTTACCACTACCTATAGTTCTGTTGCAAAGGCATCCTTTCTTAACATACCAACGGCAACGCATAGTGACCCCTCGATCATACACCTATTATCTGCTCATCTTTCTGAAAGGAAAATATACACTGAATTTAGGGGAGAGTGTTTCGTTGTATTGTTTACAGAGGCTGGTATGCTTCACGATGCGCTGTGTTTATTTCATTTGCCGTTTCTTTCGTTACACGTTGCCTGATTTGGATGTTAAAAATCGATTTCATAATGTAGGACACAAGGGCCTAATAGTGTATTTCTTTGTCGGTTCTTTATTATACTATCCTTATTCCAAAAGACTCATATCTCGTGTTAATCAGTGGACCTAAATCAGATTCCCATAAATATTGGACTACTAATTTTAGTTTCTTGTGTGACCAACACTTATGCGGATTTTTTCGGTCCCATTTGTCTTCTGCAACACTACCCAGACTCTGTTTATGCGTAAAGTAATACCTATTCAGGTATTAGCTTTCCAACTGTTTTTTGTTCATCGTCTAGTGTCTTGTTCACCTTCAAAAACATATTTTGTGCAGCCAGTTACATCAGAAAGTTGGAGTATTCTGGGATAAATCGACGTCTTTGTGAATGAACTGAATTCTCAACATCGAACGTTGAACAATGATGTTGGAGTGCAAGTTGCCATAACTATTAAGTATTCAGAAGTAGAGAGAGCAAGTTCAAAGTAACTATTTTAAATGGAAATGTATGGGAGACAGAACAGTTACACGGTGAACAATGGGAATAAAATAGATCTGGGTGGTCAGGAAAAGTGAGTGTACTCTCTCCATCGAAAAGGATGTCGCAGGCGAATGACACACTAGCCTTTTGTATCCGTGCTGAGATCTTGACAAAAGTTTATCCATCAGGGCTTATGCAAATTCCTGTGAAATGGAACTGGTCAACGCCTTCCTAACTACTTCACTCCTTATTTCTAAACACACATTCAGTGCAGACCACTCTTGCGGCATCATCTTACATGTGACGGGGGCGAATCCCTGCTCGAGGAGTTCAGAAGACTCTATTTTATCAGTGTCTTCGGATAGAAGGAGAGAACCAGGTGCATATTCTAAGTTCAAAAGAGTGTTCCTTAGTAAGAAGTAAATCCTTGATTCGCTGAATTCAGCAAGAGACAATTCGGTTAGTACAAAGCTGATGAAATTAAACGAAAATGGGGTAATTGGGCATTCTTAAGGGACACTATTGATTGTCATCAATTCAGATGACAACTCTTCATGAGCTCTCACACGTCTTCTTGAGTTCGTGTGGAGTACATTGACTGGCGCGATATACATTCTCAACACTCCCTGCACAGCGCATCTCCTCAGACAGAGTCAAGTGACTTCTTCAGTCCAACAAACATGGTAAATATGCGTATAATCCAGGATCTATTGGAGGGTGACAATGTGATCAGTATTTTCTAGCCTAGGTTCAAAGCCAGTTTGATTTTCAGGCGTTTATCACCCGCTTAATCTATGCAAGATCACGGAATCAGGAATTTTCCACATTATGTTCATGAAGTTAACATCCCCATGATAATCACATGAAGATCTATCTTCCCTCTTATATGCAGGGATAGTCAACGATTCGCACTCGTTTGGTGGGATTATCTCATATTAACTCACACTGCGAATATCTTAACTAATTCAGTTAATAGTTCACCATCACCATCCTTAAATACTTCTGCAGTCACATGCATGTCTGTAAAGTTGTGATGCATTGTATCTAACAACGTCTTCGAAAGTTGTTAATTTATCGACCTCGAGAGTGTTAGAAATGCACACATCTACTAAAATAAATTCACTTATATTATAGCCGTATAGACTGTAGGATCAGCAAAATGGGACCTACATCAGCAAGTAGCCTTAACCAGTTAATCAACAATCAATCAACTGCCGAATCCAGTTGTCCTTGTGGTTCCGACAGAAAGTTATGACATGTAGATTGACCATACCGTGTTTCAGTGCGGATAAACTCCAATCAGAAAATGTGGTGATCATGCTGAAGTGCGAATATAGGAAATCAGATGAACTTAAGATAATGGATCAAAGCTTGAATAGAAATTCAGGCAAGAAGAAATCTGAAGTTGCTGATCTACGTCCTGTCAGAAAAACTGATCACAATAATTTGAATTTAGAAATTGTATAGTTTGAGGATTGTTGTAGGCTGACTGAAGTATTTCTCAGATTAAGTTAAAATCCCAAAATCAACTTCACCAACTGTTTGAAACCTACTTAATGTAGAAACCAATTTTGTACTCTATCAATTACCTGACGAAAACACTAGAGCAGTTGAGTGTCACAGATGTTTCTTTTTCAGTTCTCACTATTCCATTTGTTCTCTTATTCCAACTGAAATTCCTAACCTCTTTCAGCTCATGGATAGTCAAACAACTTCACGTCTGAGAAGATAGAATGAAATAAAAAGTAGTGATAAATCAGTTATTTGATGATGGGTGCATTCGTTAGAATTTCCAGGTGTGAATGTAATCATACTGAGAGCAATTAGTAATTAATGCATCGATTTGAAAGCAAATCAGACAAGTTAGTGAACGAATTTCCTGAGTTGGTTAGTAAATGTATCCAACACACTACTGCTCATAGTGTGTTCTGGAAAATAGAATTCCCGTCAAACTGAAGTGTGATATTAACCCATGAGGTCAGTAAGTCAACATGCGTTGCACCGGATAGTCTATGAAACACTTCGGAGCACTAATCTACTGTCAGGATATAGGCCTGAAACTCCTTAGTGATATGACAAAAACCGATGAATTTGTCATTACCATTACATGACATTTTACTTCATACTATTTTTTTGTATAAAAGAAGCCATGCCAGTACAAAATAAGCAGCCTGAGGTTTACCTACAGAAGGGATTTGTGCGACCTCTCCCTTTAATTTGATCCTCATGTTTCATAGTTTACACAATGCTGACAAAATTCCTTCAGGTTAATATCCTGTTTCACTTTATTTCGCCCCACTGATGCAATAACTAATGAAAAATCTTACAGGGATAGGTTTCATGAGTTACACAACTATCATCATAATAATAATCATAATAGCTGTCATAATACTGCTAGCAAAGCGAAACTTGTATTTCAGAAAATATCAGCAAAACATGCCGAGTGGTTTACAGACTGCACCAAAAGCCACTGTCTACTAACAATATTCTGATATTACCCCGTCGACTAAGTGTGCAATATATGCTAATAATAACCATGCTCTGTGCACTATGGCTCATTTCGACCTGATATTATGCGTGAAAAGAGAGAACTGACTCCTCCCTTTTAGTGAACGTTAGAGTGTCATTGAAAAATGGTATTGAAGACAGTTGTGGAAGAATTCCTACTGAGAAGATTCTCACAGTGGTTTAAAAGAGTATTTCAGTGGAGAAAAGTTCCTACCGGCAATTCACCTAGTTTCTAAATACAACCCTACTTATTACGATGTAATGTAGTCAGGTAAATCATTCTATTTTCAGTAAGGACCATTTGGTCATTTTACTCCTCATAAAGTAGTCACTACAAACCAGATGGTAACTGGCTATGCTGAAGAATTGTGATGATCTCAAAAAATGCATTAATAAATAATTTATTACTCTCCAAACCAGTGATATTCAACAGTAATAAATAAATTGCTTACTCAGTAAATACATTGGTTTCATATAGTTCTCCTTATCGCATGTTACGTCCATTTGACCAATCTTCACCTCATCAGGATTCCTGATAATTAATTCGCTCCCCACAAAATCAACATGATCGCGAACACTGTGACAATTAACGGAACCAAATGTTATATCGGTAATATTCGGGAGCAAACTGATCCAGTTTGATGTCATTGGAGGACGATGCACACACAGTTTCACTGAGTTCCACGATTGATCATCCACGAATATTGCATCAGGATGTGCGGAGCAATCCAAATAGCGAATCAGATTGTTCATAAAGAATAAAGTGGTGAAATGTGCATCACACGTAAGGAGATAGACTCCCTGTGGGAAGTAATCCGCAGGAATTATATAATTATGCAACTGTACTTTCTCGTGTTCATAGGAAAGCTTCTGATATAGACAGGACGTGAATTCTGATGGCTTATTACGATCACAGTCAGGTGGTACACAAAGAATAAGTGACTCATGTAATGATTTATCAATTATATGGTAATCAAAACTCATATTTATTAACAAACCATAACCCCCGCCATGCATATGCAGAATGATCAGAATCTCTACTAGTTGCATTAGTACAGTCAATGCTGAGTTTAACAGCATGTTTCATGAATTCTTGTAAGGAGGAATCTCTAATAAAATCAAATCGTCTGAATAACTGTCTATCAGTCAGTAAAAATCGATAAAACTGCTTGGATCATTTCAAATCATTCATATCGATCGCCTTTTACGAAAATTCCTGTTAAATTAAGTCTATACTATTACCTACTACCTATCATCAATGCTTATGGACTAAACAAATGACGATTGATTGCTACACATATCAGATATAATTATCGTATTACGAAGACGCTTCGTAGTATTTTGAATTATTGCCAGCATTCAACTAGAGACTGGCGGAGAAAATGAATCCGTTCTGGCCTCTTTCAGGTGTTGTTATTGCTTTGTTCAAAATAATCGACGGTACTTGCCGAGAAAAGCATCAAAGTTCAATAAAGTAGGGCGGATCTCATCCCAGTATGTGACCTGCTCAATGTCATAGATGATGTAAGTAAAGAAAGCAAAAGTAGCATGATGATATACGCTGTTGTTTCATATGAATGGTGGGTGATTTCAACTACTGATGTCATTCAGTAGTATTCAGCATGATGTTATCGAAATTTACTTGTATCTTTCCAGTTATCAGCACTGGTTTCACCCACTCATCAGCCGTCTCCTGTAATCGATTCACCCTCTGAGATTACATGTTGACTTGTTGTGATGATTTGGTCATTTGTATTTATTTTCGCGATCACAGTATACAGTCTAAATAACCAACTATATCGATGATTAATCTGTGGAGATTTTTGAAATATCAGAGTTCCATCAGCTCTACTTCGGCTTAGTCTTCTTTCTTGTCTTTATGTCAGAAATCAGACTGTTCTGATTCTTTTCTAATTTTCCGAGCAAACGTTTCTTGTAGATCTGATCACAATTGTAAAGTCAGTAATACTTTATCCGACCACTAGTCCGTCAAATCATTCATGCTTTCTGTGTATCACTCAGAGTAAATGAATTCATCAACTTCCCCTGAGAAATTGATTACCATCAGATGTGTGGAAGAATGTATTCCGTGATTATATCCCTTCAGATTTTTCACCAAACGATTCTTTTTACTGTAAAATGAGTTGTTTATAGCTGTATATGAAGTGCAATAATCGAACACTCTGTAAACACTGGGCAATATTTCTGAACAAACTCTTTCAAAGCGTCCTAAAGAGTCAAAAGCAACCTGCTTTGGACCATCCTCTTCGGCCACAATAGAACTGCTGAAACACTACCTATGAGGATGGAGATACCGCAGCTGTGCATACAAAAGAAAATCATTCATCCACTTCTATCATCAAAGTAGGACCTCATTCATTTCAAGCCAACGCTTTTCTCTATTTCAACTCCCCAAATCCTCTTTGGTTTATCTATCCCTCCCCACTAAATCACAAGTAAAAAAACATTTCCTTTGTTTCTATACACACCCTGTCTACAACTCACTTATTGAATTATTCATCTCATAACGTAATTCAATCACCCTTATACACTCAACGTGTAGTGATTAATATTAGCAACTATTCACATTATCATTCATCGCTTTCTCATTCTCCTCTCTGACGAGAAAACAGTGTAGTCAAATGCGTTTGTGCAGCTAACGAAAATGAATTCATCAAAGGGAAAATATTCTCAGAATTACGTGTCTTATTCTTTTATTAATTTCAGGCTTAGTCAAAAAGTAAATTCAAGTTCAGTAGCGTGAGTCATCATTGGTTCGATTGGATTATACTCAGTAAAATTGTGTTCAACAACCCACTGGTCGAGTGAAATCAAATAAACCAACGAAAATGAATGTGTATTGTTCTGCACTGCACAACACTTATTCACATAAATATCACACAAAATGATATTCGATCTACTTCTTTATAAACACTACCTAGTTTTCCGTAGTCATTGTTTGATATAAAGGAGTGATATCCACGCAGTGCATGTACACAATACAAAACGAAGAATTCATATCTATCAAATATTCTGTTCTACGATATTCGTTTACACATTGTTCGATTTTATCTTTAATAGGTGAAGAGACAGGAGCAATTTTGGCCGACAAGAATACTCCAAACGTTCTGGAATTCGTGGACGATTTACTTCTCACGTCACAGAAACTCGAAGATCTACAGACGAAAACCAGTAATTTGACAGAAGTGGAAGCGAAGACAGGAACTCAAGTGAACACAGAGAAGACACTGGTGATGAAGATAGCCATCCACTAATAACAAGCACCAGTCACCATCAATAGGAGTAGTTTGAAGGAGGTCACTTCCTTCACTTCTCTAGGCGGCATCGTATCATGGTATCATGGAAGAAAATATCAAAGGTGGGATCGGAAAATCAAGACAGATCGTCAGTACACTTAAGTCAGTGTGGGAATCTGCTGCTCTAGGTATAAAGGACAAGATGTGGATTTTCAGCAGTAATGTGGAGTCAGTCAGTGCTTCTATGTGCTTCAGAGTCTGAAGCCTTTTCGAGCACAATCTATTGCTCATAATCATCAAGGAACTCACACAAGGAACTTTCTTGTTTCGTTCATATACATGAGTAACGATTGATTAGACATGTGAATAGAAGCAGTATAAGACCTGCGTGAAACATAATGGAAGATAAAGTGCATTCGGAAACAATATTACTGTTGTCAACAAAATATAATAGGATGGAAGATAAGACGAGTGTGTTTAATCAAGAAGATGGGAATTAAGATGTATTTTAGTGAAATAAATAACTTGTGACAATGTTACAATGTGATTTAAAATAAACTCAATCATTATTTCTTATCCTTTGATTTGACTGGCAATAATATCTTCAAGATCTGTAATATTCACGCTGAATCACTTCTATTGCATGTGGTGGGTGAACAATCACTCTATGAACCCATTATAGATAAGATTTTATTTTGATAAATCACGCAGTGTTGTACAGTTATATGAACTGATGACGTTTCGAGCACAAACTATTGCTCATAATCATATCAAGTTACTCACACAACTTTGTTCTTTCATTTATATACATGTGTAGAATGGATTAGATATTGGATTAAAAATCAATGTGAGATAATGTACATTCAGAAATAATCGTACGAGTGTTGTTGATCAATTGCAATTAGATGGGAAAAATCGACGAGTGTTTTTACAGTCATAATAAGCTACTTGTTAGAATGCTGTGTTTGAATGTGTTTGAATTGAAATAGAATTTTAGGATTATTTATTATCCTCTTCTGATTTGACCTGCGGTAATAATATCTTCCATATCTCTGGTATTTGCATTGAGTCATTTTTGTTGCATGTGTTGGGTGTAGACTCGATAAATAAGGATTCCGTAATCAACCTTTCTCTCCACTTAGCTATATTACTTTTTAGAATTTTAACCCTATCCCACCCTATTGTGTGGTTGTTTGTTATTGCATGAAGTGCAATAGCTGAGCTTTTTTCTAAATTACTTATCTTTTCAGGGTCAACCATTCTTAACTCAGCTAAATTCGTATGTTCTGTTAATCTGACTATCCCTGACCTACTAGTTTGACCTATGTAGTTGGCCTCACAGTCATTGCAGGGTATTTTGTAGATCATATTATTTTGTTTAATTGGATCCACCGGGTCTTTTAGCCTACAGAGCTTGTGTCTGAGTGAGTTTGTAGGTTTGAATATCACCCTAATTCCCGCTTTGTTAAGAATCCTACGTAGGGCCTCAGATGTCCTCTCCTCATATGCTATAACAGTGGATGACTTATATTCTTTCTTATTTGTGTTATCACTAATAGTTTCACCATTATTTTTATTTTGCTTTTGGTTTTTACTGATCTTCCTAATGAATTTTATAGGATAGTTATTCAACACCAACGCTTCTTCTATCTGTTTTATTTCATCATTTAGGTCTTTTTTTGTGCTACTTAGTGCTATGGCTCGATTTGTTAGACACTTTACTAAGCCTGCCTTAACAGTTAACGGATGAGACGAATTAAAGTCTAAATATCTATTAGAATGCGTTGGTTTTCTATAAACACTAGTGTGTAGTTTGCCTTCTTCTATTCGTTTTATTTCACAATCTAACATAGCTAATTCTCCTAGTTCATTTTCTGATTCAAATGTGAATTTTATTCCCTCTACTTGTGAGTTTATATGTTTCAGGAAGCTAGAGATATGTTCTGTTTTTAACACCGTGAAGGTGTCATCCACATATCTCCACCATATTTTTGGAGTGGGGTTAAACGTATTAAGAGCACTACTTTCCCAGCTGTTTATAAATATGTCTGCTACAATAGGGGATATTGGTGATCCCATTGCTACACCTTCTGTTTGTCTATATATTTTGCCTTGGAACTTAAAGATGGTGGATGTGAGACATAACTGAATCCCTAACATAATTTCTTCAATGGGCAGCTTTGTCCATGATTCAGTTCAGGATCCGCAGTTAATTCTTTTTTAACTGGTTCTAAGCCGTAGTGACTGGCATATTAGTGTAAAGACTAGTTATATCAAAACTAACCATTTTTTCATCATTCTCTAGTCGAATGGCATTTAGCTTACTTTTCATCTCATATGAATTAGTTAGTCTAGAGTTTGAACGATTTCTAATAGGACAAAGTATTAGAGCTAAGTGTTTTGATAATTCATAAGTGGGGGTATTTCTAAAATCTACTATTGGTCTTATTCTAAAAAGTAATATAGCTAAGTGGAGAGAGAGGTTGATTACGGAATCCTTATTTATCGAGTCTACACCCAACACATGCAACAAAAATGACTCAATGCAAATACCAGAGATATGGAAGATATTATTACCGCAGGTCAAATCAGAAGAGGATAATAAATAATCCTAAAATTCTATTTCAATTCAAACACATTCAAACACAGCATTCTAACAAGTAGCTTATTATGACTGTAAAAACACTCGTCGATTTTTCCCATCTAATTGCAATTGATCAACAACACTCGTACGATTATTTCTGAATGTACATTATCTCACATTGATTTTTAATCCAATATCTAATCGATTCTACACATGTATATAAATGAAAGAACAAAGTT